CTCCAGTGACCAAGCAGGCATGTTTCTAAATAAACTGTTTTAAGCACAATTCAGTAATGGTTTCGTGTAACTAACAGGCCAGGTCATGCCAACGTTAATGTGCTGCAAAGGTAGAGGCTATTGGTCTATTACAAATTACACCGAAAAAATAAAATAATAGCAGTGAAATGTTTCCAAGCTGTTCATGGCCTCTCAAGCGGGGCGAGTAATAGCCGGGTTATAACCCCCCTCCCCGCTTTGATGTTGTCCTACAATTCTTGCCCTAAAAGGGACGGACAGCACCTTACAGACTCTGCCAGCAGTATCTGTTATCGTGCTTCCTCCCCCAACTTTAAAAAGAGAAAAAAGTGTATTGAAAAACTGTTTTGTCTTAAAAAGAATCCAGTCTCGGGTTCGGTGAGGGCCTTCGGGGCAGGGAGACAGAGACCGCTGCGAGGCAGCAGCGCGGGAGCCCTCGCCTCACGCAGCCCGGGGCGCAGCAGCAACACCGGCTGCTGATGCAAGGCCCGGGCATGCCGTGCCATCCCCTCCGCCCCTCCACAAGGCCCGGAGCGGCCCGCAGGCCCGGGCAGCCCCGCAGGAACCCGGCGGCCGACCCCATCCCCTCAGGCCGCGGCCCCGCCGCGCCTGCGCGCCGCCACCTCCCGGGCATGCTCACCGCAGCACCGCCAGGTGCGCCTGCGCGAAACGAGGCCGGCGGTGCTGTGCCTCCGCCCCGCCCGGATCCCTCCGCGCCCCGCCCAGCGGCGCGTGTGGAGGGCGGCCTCCGCGCAGGGCCGCGGCCTGGGAGCGGAGCCACTTGGCGGCGGGTCCGGGCCGCCGTTCTGAGGGGAAGGGGGAGCCGGGGAAGGGGTATGGCCTCGCCGGGCGGCAGGCCCGCAGCCGGGCCCGCACCCCCGCCTCCCGCTGAGCGCGGGGCCTGCCTGGGCCGGGAGCGGGGCAGCGCTGGGTGCGGGGATCCCCGCGGGGGGCGGGAGGGTGGGGGGAGCGCCGGTCCGATCCGGTCCCCGGGCTGCGGCCCTCAGGCCCCGGCGCGGCCGATGGGCTGTCACCCCCGCGGTGGTGGCTCGTAGTGCTGCGCATGGCGTCGTGTTTCTTCTTTTTTATTTATTTTTTTTTCTCAATTTAAAAAAGAATAAACCTGAGCTGGCATTGAGGACGTCTGGACCGGGGTTTGGCTGCTGGTGCGGTGCCGGAGCTCTGCCCGGTGACACCCGGGGGCTCTGCCCGTTGGTTTCAGCAGGCCTGCTCCTTTTCAGAATGTCGCCCGGGAAGGGTGGCTGCCAAATAACAGCGTTTCTAAGATTTTCTCGCGTTCTTATCTTTAACAAACAGACTTTGTTAATTCGGGACTTACATATGCAAACAACTGACATCACGGCACTACTGCTCTGGCTGGCAACAGGCCAGAAGGTTCTGTCCCACCTTTTCAGACAAAGGCCTGACTGTGACTGTTGTTTCCATGCTGTTTGTTTTGATTTGAGTACAGCATGAGATGTGGGACCCCAGGGCTGGCAGGATGCAGGAGGCAGCAGCTTCTTGTCGGCTAAAAAAACATGGATAGTAATAAAAACGTTTGTTTCTTCACTGAATTGCTTTGGAAGAGGTCTCTATTTAAGGTGTCCTTTCCTCGCATTCAGGGGACTGAACAGGTCCAGGTTCTGGAAAGACTCTTCAGGACAGCTGCATTTCACTGTTTTAAGAAACTTGATCAACAAGGGAGCCCAGGAGACTCTGTTTCCTGTCAGAGGAAAACAATTTGCAGCTATCTATCTGTAGCCATCCTGCCTGTTCACTAATAAACTCTGAACTTCCAAACACATGAGTATGTATTATAGCATTTTGCAGAAGTGAGGGTAGTTAGGCTTTTTGTTTGTTTGTTTGTTTGTTCATTTGTTTTCTTTTTGTGCCTAAGGAGTTCCTCATGGAATATAGTGATCTAGGTTATATTTCTGGGCAGGAGTGATCTGTCTTGACTTTAGAAAAACTGAACTCTTGCTCCTGATCTACAGAAAGACTTTTCTTTCAGACATGCATAGCAATAAGTTCATGTAGTTGTTAGACTTCAAATGTTAAACAAATCAGTGTGTAAAAGGGAGAGGCTGTAGCTGTGTTTGTGTCTACTTCAGAGTGGATACAGAGAAATGAATTGTTCCTCTCACAAGGAGATGCCAGAAGTTTCGGGTTTACATGTGATATTAAATACTTGTGTAATTTCTTGATTTAACGCTTTCTGAAGCAGGTCAGGTAGAACTCTGCTTCTGTCAGCCCACCTGCAATAGACTCGGTGTGAAAGATGGACACAAGTAACTCCTGGATTTTGGGGTTATTGGTTTGGTTTTGCTTTTCCCCCATTATTCACAGTTGGAGTAATACTAGCTCCTTTTGTCTTCTGTCTCTAAAGGAGTTACATTCCAGGAAGTAAAAGCAAAAGGCTACTGTACTCTTGCTTTGTTTAGCCTAGGTGTGTGTCCTGAGACAGTACAGAACTTCTCTGACTAGTTTCATTCAGTGACAAGAGTTGTTTTATGGGAGAGGTGGAGCTGAATTCTCAAATATAAGTTTCACGTTGCCCTTCGTGCTGCCTTTCAGTGGCATTCTGGGGTCTGAACTTGGGTTCCATCTTTTAAGTCTTTTTCCAACTCTTACCTAGCCATTTAAAGAAATAAAGCAAACTCCTCTTTTTCCGTGTGTGATTTTTTTAAAGGTGGATTTTAAAATATATTAAAAAAAAATATTGCAAGCTCTCCCTGATCATGTGTCATTATTAGAAGTAATACATACTGGGATCTTGGTGAAGGTTGCTTTTTGGATTTTGCAGTACACAATTGTGTGTGTGGTAGAGAAGTTGTGCTGAAGCTAAGGCAGAAGCTCAGCACCCTTCTCAACATCCCATTCCGAGTGCTCTCTCACCATGAGCTGCACATACTTCCTCAAGTCAGGCCTTTTCATCACAGTGTGTGGCAAACACAAGTTTCACAAGGTTTCAGGGAGTTGGCAGGAACCAAAATGCCCTTCCTGTGGACTGAAATTCATCAAAAAATTGTTCAGGAAAACAAGAGAGGAGGGAGAAAGCATCACCCAGAGTTTGGCAGTCTCTTTCCATATACGGTGCCCTCTTGTACAGATGCTTCCACCAGGAAGTCAGGACTCCCCGCTGGGCACTCAGGGCTGGAGAGAAGTTATAAAAATTGGTGTGATGCAAATGAGCCCATCTCAACAGTGAAATAGGTGCAGGTACTTTATGGGTGTCGCTGAACCTGAGGCGCTTTCTGAGTGGAGGCAGGTTTTGTGTGGAGAGAAGCTGTGGGTTGCTCCTGAGCTGGATCTGGTTGTAGCTGTGTACTAAATAGAGGGCATCCAGGTGGGTTCTTCCTGCCTGTGATGAGGTTTCCTACAGCTGATTTCCAGTTAAGGTGTTGATTCCTGCTAAGGCTGGCGCTTTACATTCAAAACCAAGGCTATACGTCAAAGCTCTGAGGGACAGGAACGCCTGCTGTACACGAACAAGTGATGTTTAACTGATTGGTGTGTAACTTCTGGGCAGAGAACTCGATCAGAGGCTTTTCTAACGTAACCAAATCAGCCCTGGAAAACACTTTTTGGGACTGAAAGAAGAAGACACCAAGCAGTCTGTCATCCAATAACAGTGTTGATGATGTGCTTGCAGGACGCTGGGACTTGTAGAAAGTCTCATCTGAGTAGATCCTTGAAGAATTCAACAAATTTCCAGTACACGTTCAAAGTCAAAACAGATTTTTTTGAAATTGGGAGGAGGTAAGAAAAATTCAGGAGGACACATTTAAGAAAAATAGCAGTATCTATAGTATCTAGTTATGAACACTGGAGACTTCATCCCCACCCGCTTCTCCATCTCTGCAGGAAGACAGTTTGCAGCTCGGCTATTTAAAGCGAGGAAGGCCAAGTCCTGCATTCATGGGTTATCTCCCAGAAGGTACTTGGCACAAGGCTGCTAAACACCAAAATATGGCTCTTACCTGCCCTAATAATCCCTGAGACCCAGACAAACCCTCGTGAAGCTTTGGAGAGGTTTCTGTAGGCAGATCTAGAGCATAACCAGATGGACACAACAGCTACAGGCAGAAGCCCCAAGTCATTCTGGCCTCTTGTGACAGTATTAGAGACAACACACGTACAGTTTGATGTCCTGGTTTATTTGCTGTTATATAAATGTGCAGGATACAGCTGAAATTAAACAACCGTAGCTATAGAATTGGCTTTTAAGAACAATTACCTTATTTATGATATGTTTCTACCCCCAGATGTACGAGTGGGCATATTTTTTTGCTGTCTACTAACTGCAATGACAGGTTTATTAAAAAAGCGCCTCAGAATGTATAAGAACATTTTTGAAGCAAATCTTAATAACCATTTTAGGCATCACTGAAAGTAGACATTTTGAATACCTTTAAATTAGGGTTGTTCATACTCTCTTAATAAATTTCTTCAATAGAGAGTGATCTCAGATAAACTTCTTATGTCCCTAAGGATTTTCTTAAGTGATTGTTTCAAAGATGGAATCTGCGTGCACATTGTGTTAATTATTCCTTAGAAAGCAAATAGCCATGCTTCTAATTTTAACCTGAGAGCAGTGCTGCTGCTTTTTTTTTTTTTTTTTGAAAAGCAAGCAATGTGTTTCCATAAAATACTTTTTGTGTTATATGAGACAATTTTTAAAAGCATAGAATATGAATTGTATGTGCATTGGCTTGTAGCCAGTCTCATCTCTTGGTCCATCCACAAACTGGCTGTGGGTTGGCTGAGTATCATGCAAAATATTGTTTGATTTAATAGCCATATAAAATGACTAAAAAAGAGGTTTTGTTATCTGTGTTCTGTTCCTTTTGTTCTGTTTTCAAGAAGCTGTTGACTCATGGGAGCACTATTGAGATATTCGTTGTTCCAGTAATCTTGAATATTTTTTTTCTCCTGATTTTAACCTAATTTTTAGGCGTTTAAAAAATAGCCTTGGTATGTAAATGCTCCCTTTATCTCTTGCAGGTTTTGGTCGGAAGGATGTCGTTGAGTATTTACTTCAAAGTGGTGCCAATGTCCACGCACGAGATGATGGGGGCCTTATTCCTCTTCACAACGCTTGCTCCTTTGGCCATGCTGAAGTTGTCAATCTTCTCTTGCGACACGGTGCAGACCCTAACGCTCGGGACAATTGGAATTACACTCCCCTTCATGAAGCTGCCATCAAGGGCAAGACAGATGTCTGCATTGGTAATTGTCTCCTGCTCTTCTGTGACCTTTTCACTGTGAAAAATCAAGACCATTTTTACTCTGTGAAGCTATGGCTGGCACGAGGCTTAAAACTAAAAATCTTTCCTAAACTTAAATCCATGTGCCAGTTTTATAAGACAAGTTTATAGGTCTATTTTTGATAATTGCCAAGTTCACATTGCCATCATGGGGAAGGAGCTTTGGAGTGGTGTGATGGAGCTAGAGTCCCATCTGCTTCAGCCTGGACTCTGACGCTGCTTCCTGCTGCTGGCACCGCGGTGGTGGATCCGTTCTGTCTCTGCATGAGGCAGCGGTCTTAAATTCCTTAGGGCAGGAGCTAAGCTTCAATTGTACTGACTGCTTGTTTTGCCTACACAGTTCTTAGGAGTTAGGAAGAGGTAGAGAACCAGATATGTAGTCAAGAAACTAATTTTTGGATCGTGTGGTTTGCTCTCATTTATTTTATTACTAAGGAGCACACCTGGAGAGATTTATATATAATACTGCGGTTTTGGCCCCAGTATGAGTGCCAAGATGCATGGCCTGTGTAGTTTAGGGCAGAGTCACTTGTCGATGTGAGGCAGCACGCTCTGGAGCCCCTGGGAAGTATCTAGTGATGTTTGTGGTGTGTCAGTCAGTCCTCCAACTGAGGTTGCCTCCTGCCACTCCGTAGTGGTTCCATTTCTGCCCTGCTTTTCCCTCATAAAACGTGTCCAGGCGTGTTTCACTCGTTAAACTGCTCAGAGGTGACATGAAGGAATTCTGACATGAAAAATGGGAGAGGGGAAGTGAGGATCAGTAACTGGCTGTTTCTTTTGTTGCTTGAGGCTTCCAGTAATGATAGGTCTCAGAAGCCTTGGCTTGTTGATTGTGTTCTCATGGCCACCCTTGGCATTTTGCAGTGCTGCTGCAGCACGGGGCCGAGCCGACCATCCGCAACACCGACGGGAGAACGGCCCTGGATTTGGCAGACCCCTCTGCAAAAGCAGTGCTGACTGGTGAGTGACAATCTTTACATTACGTTATGACTAACAACAGCGAAATGAATGTAAGACAGCATTTTGGGGGTTGTCTTTCTGGTATTACTTCGACTTCTCTCTGTTTTATACTTCTAAATAGAAAACCCCATACGTCCTCCATCTCAGCCCTGGGATGTGTTCTGGGGAAATAGTTTATTGTACTAGGTCGGTAATGGCATGTCAGATTTTTAGCACTTATGTTCTCTAAAATTTTGGAAGAGGAGGATAAGCTGTGAACTTCACATATATAGATTTTTATTTAACAACTAAAGAAACTCTCTTTTGTCTTCTAGGTGAATACAAGAAAGATGAACTCTTAGAGAGTGCCAGGTATGCATGTTTGGAAGTTGTTTGGAATTTAGTTATATTTTCAGAATCATATGTAATGAATGTATGTATTGGCTTTTGAGCTGGCATTCCACCTAGGTGCTAGGCTTTGCTGTTATCTGTGAATAAAGCTGCAAAAATAGTTATATAAATGTAGTTTTACTTTCCCTTTAATGCTGACAACACAGAAGTGAATTATTTCAGAACAGATTTACTAAATGTTATAGCAAGGGAAAATATAAAAGCATAATAAGGCTTTACAAACTGGAATAAAAATATTTCTTTCCGTTTTTCAGGAGCGGAAATGAAGAAAAGATGATGTCTCTTCTTACACCATTGAACGTTAACTGTCATGCAAGTGATGGCAGAAAGGTATTTTTGTTTCTGATCAGAATGAGTTCACTCTTACACGTTTCACCGTTATTGTTTGATCGGATTTTAGAACGTTAAACATAGAATCTGTCTATTTTCTTCAATATATGTGTGAAAATAAGATTGTACCTCTCAAGCAACCAGCTAATTTGTGGGTTGGTTTTTAACCTTAGAAGGACTGTGTAGGTATTTCCGTCTAGGAGCAGTGAACAAACACCTTTTCTTGGAACTACCTCTTGACCTTCGTACCTGCAGGGAGAGAGAAGGGAGGCTCTGTCACGGATTCTCCTCACTGTCACAGAGACACACGGGCCCCGTAATTGCCATATGTCCTGGGCAAGGCATTGCTGCTGCTTCAGGAGCTATAAGCAGTGCTAGAGAACTACATGAAAAATGTTCAAAATTTCCATTCTAAAACATCCTGATGGTCTTCTGCCCCTCGCCTACCGGAAGTTCAAATTATTATCAGTTTTTGGCATCCTCATCCTCATTACGTACTTGCTTGAGTGGCTTTGCTGGAGGAGCTCATAGAGCAGTTACCCGAGTGCTCTGTGGAGGGTGAGAATTTTCAGGAGTTTTTCCCCCAAGCCCCACTAATTTACCACCCACAAAGATGTGGGTAATAGTCTCTGTTGATAATTTCTGAGCTTCATCTCCTGACTGGCAGGGAGACCTCTTTATAATTGAGCAGTCATCATTTCTAATTGCAGTCTGATTTCCCCTTTCCCAAGAGATGTAGTTTGTCCCAGCAAAGTATTTATGGTGGTAGGCTAAAGGACAGAGATGGACTGCAGGACTCAAAAAGCCTTTAAAAAGGGCCTTCATGACTGCAAGAGTAGCGAGTAAACAATGAACTTAGCTATCAAATGTCTGATTCAAGCACCCTGGTTTGGTTTTTTTTTATGTTGCAAGTATTTTAAAGACTTCAGTAATTAGTACTGTTAACAAGTTTTGAAAAAAATAAATATAAAATCAAACTTTTATTACTGATTACTCCTGTGTTGTGTCATTTCAGTCGACTCCTTTGCATTTAGCAGCTGGGTATAACCGTGTCAAAATAGTGCAGCTCTTACTGCAGCACGGGGCTGACGTACACGCCAAGGATAAAGGGTAGGTTCATTTTTCCTTTGGTCAGAATAAAAAGAATTTGGTTAAAATTGCAATGAAGTAAAGAATAGTAATACTATTTTAACCATGAAGAATTTCTCACTTGAGACCATTGTGCCATCTTTAACCTTTCTGCTGTGACAAAAATACAGAGTTTCCAGGCTTGAGACTTGTGATTCAGTAGAATCCAAGTTGAGCTGACCATAGAACATGTTGCCTTTTAGCCAAATTATTATCTCTTGTTTAATAAAAGACATTTGAACACCACTGTGAAGTCAGCAAATATTGAGAAATGATTGAATCAATCTTAACTTTCTTTCTGCTTCTAAGTTTCTGCACTTCTTTTTGCAAAGAATGTGATAAAAATAGAAGATTTGTTTCCCAGAGTTCTTGTTTGGACTACATTCTCAAGCATTTGGTTGTCGTGTTAGGAAACATAGTGAAATATTGCTGTGTTCTTGTGAAGGAGATCATTGCTGTCACTCCTGAAAATCCCCTGCAGGTAGTTCTTACTGCTGTGGGTTCTGAGTCTGAGGGGAACCTCTTCATTTGCAGTAAGACAGCACAATAAATTTTGCGTCTTTTAATTATTTTAAACGTTTATTGTTCTGAAAAATGCTGATGGGGTTTTCTGTGTTCTTCTCCATCTTCTTATTTCTCCTCAACGTCATTTGAACATCTCTGATACTCCCACATAGTGCTCTGTAGGTGCATTTGAAATTGAGATATGTCTACTGAGAAAGTCACCCTCCCCCTTTCTCTCCTGTACAGAGACTTGGTGCCACTTCACAACGCCTGTTCCTATGGTCACTATGAAGTAACAGAGCTTCTAGTAAAGGTTGGTCTTTGAAGAGATTAAATTGCATATTATTAAATAAGAACAGTTTATAAGACTTAATGCAAGTTGCGTTTTTATTTTGTATTTAGATTTACAAAACTTCCAGAATGGTAGATTGCTTCTGCTCTACCTGTTGGTGATTATTAAGCTGGAGCTACAGAATCTTCTGCTTGCAAGGAAGCTTTTTCCTTATAAATGCACTTTCTGTTTTTAACTTTCTCTGCTTCAAAGTTGAATGTTTTTTTACCAAGTACTTCTTATCTCAACCTTCCCACCCTCACCCCAAAAAAACAACACCAAAAAAACCCCAAAACTGAGAAATACCGAGTTTGACAATAGAACAATATTTTGTAAGACAGAGTATTAAGAGATTTTTTAAAAGAATACTGGTAAAGATCTTCAATGTTTTAAGATTAAAGAGTAATTGGTCTTTTGAGGGCATGAACTTAGAGCGTATATTGTAGTAAGTATAAATAGTGAAGATTTTGTGTTTGTTTGGTTGGTTTTTTTACTGCAGAGGCCCATTGCAAAACTAATCTTTACACTTGTGGTACCAGACAAAAAAAAAATCCCCTCTTGCCTAGACACAGCTGCGTTCCTTACCTGTTATGCTGGAGTCATATTCCTTGTTGGATTTCTGCTCCAGGGAGTCAGGAATTATTTTTTGCAAAGCACTGCAGTGGTAACAGGATCAGTGGGAAAGAGCACGTCCTGTCAGACGTGCTTACAGAACTCCAGGTGCATATAGGATGTTACTGGAGAAGAATTACGCAGATATTAATCATCCAAAACTATTACTTGCAGAACCTTATACTTAAATGTTTTGAATTGAAGCCAATTTTGAGTGTCTGTCTCCTCCTAGATATCTTGGGATTCATCTCTTGGTGGGTAGTCACAGAACGTGTGTTTATCTTAGTGCAACTGTTCACTCTAGACTTTTTCTAGAGGAACAAGAAACAGGAGCTTGTTCAAAGGTGACTTGGAGTATGTGAGTTAGGCTCTTTCTCCAGTGTGACGTGTAGCAGAGCTACTGTCCTTCTCAAGATGCTGGAGAAAGCCTTGAAGAGACCAGCCTGCATTGGGCTTTTTTGAATGTATCTGTAAGGCACTAGGGGATTAGAAACTGCAATGTGCTGAAATGTTGTGTTATATTGAAAAGGAGCATCTTGGATACAGTTTGCATACAAGCATTGATTTTTATTTTAACAGTCTACTGCTTTGTAACTAATGACAGAAGTCTTTCTATTGATCTGGTTTTAATGCATCCTTTCTGCCCCTTTCCCTTGGAAGCACGGCGCGTGTGTGAACGCGATGGATCTGTGGCAGTTCACCCCTCTGCACGAAGCAGCCTCTAAGAACAGGGTGGAAGTGTGTTCTCTTCTGTTAAGTTACGGTGCTGACCCTACACTCTTGAACTGTCACAACAAAAGCACCATCGATTTGGCTCCAACACCCCAATTAAAAGAGCGATTAGCATGTGAGTATTGAGCAAGATCAGCTCTACAGTTACAGATTGTGGTGGGTCCTTAGGTTCCCTGGACGGTGACCCACCAGAAAGCAGATGTGGAAAATGCTTTCAAGCAATTGAGCAATGTTGGACAGTACATTTCACTGTTTAGAAATTGAGATTGCTAGATTTTTTTGAACATAGGCCTTTAAAATAATTTTATTGTCAGTTTTATAGTCGTGGTTGTGATGGGTTTTGTAGCTTTTCTTCCCTGTAGCTTTCCCTCATGACCTTGCCAGTACGCTTTCATTTTCCATACTTGCTCCTGTCACTGCGTCAAGACTGCTGAAATACACATTTTTATTCCACTGTGTTTTGTTTGAAGAAAAGAAAAAACATAACTGTTTAGAATTCTGAGTTTGTTTGAGTATGCAGCTTGGTATTTTACACCAACAATTGCTAAAAGAAATTGATGAAAGGCGCTGATTTTTGTCCAGCAGACTTGAGTTGAAAAGAATGCCCTCAAATTCTGTCCTTCATGGCCAAACAATAACTTTGTGGGACATGTACAGAAATTCCCAGTAAATACTACACTGGGCTTCATGTTAGCATCTAGACATGGTTTTCCAAAGGCAGGTCAGAAGTAGAGATTTATATGTGCTTGAGTTGGTACGTGTGGGAAGAGCAGAACCTAGAGGAGTGGGGAGTGACGTGGATGTTGTTCAGCCAGTTCAGGTGGCTCTGCCTTCGCTTCAGAAACTAAGCGTGTCCCTGTAGCGTTCTGACTTAGCTAACAAGTGCTGTCAAGTGGGGGAAAAACTGCCCTTTGAGTTGGAAATGTCTGCTCTGTGGTCTGTTGAATAAACTGAATATTTTTATCTAACTGAAAGAAACAATGCTCTTGATCCTTCTTGAGTTAAGGAGTGTAACCTTCTGGTACGTGTTTATTTCTTTTTAAAGATGAATTCAAAGGTCACTCACTGCTGCAGGCTGCAAGAGAATCAGATGTGGCTCGTATAAAGAAACATCTTTCTTTGGAGACAGTGAACTTCAAGCATCCTCAAACACATGAGACAGCATTGGTAATATCTCAGGATTTATGAATTATTTTTCATATATTGTGGCTGACCTAAACATACTAGGTAATAGCTTAGAACTAAAAATTTCAGTGTCAAAACAGTGTAATTCAGACCAGCCTGGAATATCAAGTGCCTAGTTAAGCAAATACCATTGATTAATAATTTATTCTTAAGGTGAATGTTAGGGCTCATCTAAATTGCCTGTTTAATATAGGCTGTCTGAATGGCTGATTTTCTGTAGAATGGTTTGGTTTTAAGCAACAGTAAGCTGTTTATGTTAGTTTGGTTTGTAAAGCTTGGAGGTTTCCAGCAATTATTGGAGAGGGAGCTCTGGAAAATACCAGAATAAATCCAAAAGCCTATGCGAAATCTCCCAAGTTAATAAGGGCTTCTACATGATTTTGGGTTTTTTTTTCTGTTGACACTGCACACGAGCAACTCCTGACTGCCTGCTGATGAGCAAGCAGTGAAACCCCTGCCCTGCTGTGGCTGGTTGTTAATGCTGCAATGTTTACTGTTCTCAGCACTGTGCTGCTGCCTCTCCCTATCCTAAGAGAAAACAAGTGTGTGAATTGCTGCTGAGGAAAGGAGCCAACATCAATGAAAAAACAAAAGAGTGAGTGGTTACAAATGAATACTCCTAAGTGCTTGTTTAAAAGAGTTTGCAAAATAAATTTTTGAATTATTCTTTCTTTTTTCTCTGTTCTTTTTAAAGCTTCTTGACTCCTCTGCATGTGGCATCAGAAAAGGCTCATAATGATGTTGTAGAAGTGGTTGTGAAACACGAAGCTAAGGTAGGAGTTACTGTTCGTACTTTTTTTTTTGCCTACTGTATAGGTTTTCATACCTTGAGAATGAACAGACTGAGCTGAGCAGACAGACTTTTCTAAAATAGTTCCTTTTGGAAGGTTTTAGATTTATACACTTAAGACATAGGCCATCAGTCAAGCCCGTACATTGAGGCATCATTGTTGGTGTGGTCGTTTTATAAGAACTATGGATGTAGTTCTCACTAATAACTGAAAGCTTGTGGAGTAGCTTAATCGGTGCTTCGTCATCCAGCAGGAGAAATGAAATGCTTAAGGAAAAAAGAAAGTAGGGGATATATTGGAACAAGAAGAAGCCAGACTGAACTGTATAACAGCTAGTGAAGCTAAAATGAAATCATAACAGAGTGTTTAGCGCAAATTTCCACAAAAAGGGAAGGTGGAAAGGAGATACTGTCTGTAATGCTTCAATCCTCCAAAACTAGGAGGTGAATATCTCTCTCATGTCAATTTGATTACGGCCTGACTGCTGTGAATTTTCCAAAGCAATGCTCAAAACCAGAGGAGCAGGAGGGAATCCAAGTAACTTTGGGGTGCAGAGTTTTCAATTGTTAAATACACCTTGACTGAAACACATAGAAAGTCCTCACTCTGAAAAATGGCGATAAGCCAGTGCAGGTGGGAGCTGTTCTGTGTGCTGGCACTGGGGATTTGTGCCAACTTCTGGATGTGGTAGAATTGCTGTAATTGTTTGCTTACACTGGATTAATCACGTCTCTAAAATGGGGGCTGTTTGTCCTCAGTGAATGTAGTTGCAACTTTATGATCTGTTTTTGTTTAAGTTTTATCTTCTGAAGTGTCATGACCTCCAGAAATATGCTGAATATGTTCTTTTAATTAAAAGGAGGAAGAATCCTTGTGAAACTCTCCCAGTCAGCAGTGAAAACGGCTTTGATATTAAGCTTTGATGGTGATGTTTCTTGTCTGTGTTATTTTTAGGTTAATGCTTTAGACAATCTGGGCCAGACCTCTCTGCACAGAGCAGCACACTGCGGGCACCTCCAGACCTGCAGGCTGCTCTTGAGTTCTGGCTGCGATCCCTCCATCGTGTCTCTGCAGGGCTTTACAGCCCTACAGATGGGGACGGAGAGTGTGCAACAGCTGCTGCAAGGTACGACTGATTCATTCAGCACCCGCTGCTGAAGTAACCTGCTGCTTCGTTTTACTTGTAGTTTCAAGTGCTGTCAAGGAGTAACAGTGAACACAATTCCAAAAAATGAACTTTCTACAGAAGACAGTGCCGAGAGCTGGGCTGTGCCGTTCTTACTCCATCACCACGCACGCAGGGAGAGTCCCTGCTCTGGCTGTAGTTAACAATCTCATTTACTCTCTGGTATTCAGCTGTACAGATTGTCAGGCATGCTCAGGTATTTAATGGTACAGCTGTCTGGAATAGTTTTGGAAAAATCTTGATGTAGGGGAGTTGGGGATCTTGTAAGTAGAAAGTGAGTTTCAAAAGCAAAGTCATATCTGCTTTGCACTTTGCAACTGTGAGCAGAGGCAACAGGGTACATGGGTTTTAAAGTTTGGATACTCTACACATAGGTAAGCTACAGTCTAATTCTGAAACTGAGAATCTTTAGTTGGTTCCCCAGTACTTCAGAATGGATAGGAAGTGTGTTGCTAAAGGCAACTTAGCAAACACTGTTGGAGCTAATAGCGACACTGGTAGAGAATAAGAAAAGACAAAACTTGTCTATAATTGGTTAATTTTCTTTTTAAGGGAAATCTTTGAAATACTGAAATGATTTACTGTCTTAACAAATTCCTTCAACTGCATACACTCACTCACTTGTCATGCAACCTTGTTTCTTTTGCAGAAGGGATCCCAGTGGGTAATTCTGATGCAGATCGACAGTTGCTGGAGGCTGCAAAGGCTGGAGATGTGGATACTGTAAAAGTAAGCTTAAACCTGCCCTAAAAATAAGAGAGAATCAAACTACCAAACTACTATTTTTCAAAGCAAGCAATCAAACAGCCCTTCACTGACTGCTTTAGAGTAGTGATCCCTGTCCTAAAACCTTTGCACAGATCTTACAGCTGGCAAAATGTAATGTTCACCACCTCCAAAAGTTTGTCTTATATAAAAAGCACAAGTAAGAAGTCACAGGGTGGATTTGGGAGGAGGGAATATTTAATTAATGTTTTTCTTGGGACACAATCTGCGTAAAGCAAAGGTTTTATGTAGAAATTAATGACTAAAAGAGACTTTAATGCAAACAATTTTTCAAAATTAGATGTCTCTAACAACATTTTATGACTAAATGAAAAGTGTTCCAACACTATATACAGTGATGTTTGTTTTGTTTGGGGTGTTTCACAGAAACTGTGCACAGTTCAAAGTGTGAACTGCAGAGATATTGAAGGACGCCAGTCGACACCACTTCACTTTGCAGCGGGGTACAACAGGGTGTCTGTTGTCGAGTATCTCCTTCAGCACGGCGCTGATGTGCATGCAAAAGACAAGGGGTAAATACTCAAATGTCTATTTTCTTGGCAGTTGTAATTGCTGATATATGTCACCTCTTGACTACTGTGAGCTGGCCAGCATCCCATCTTTCTTCAGACACTTGATTCTTTTTTATTTCCATGGAAAGTTCTGTTAGATTGAAGACGTTCAGAATATCCACAAAAGTATTTGACTGAATTTCTCTGAATTTTCCCCCTGCATATCTTCACCACTTCCCAGTATTTCTCCTTGCCTGCCAGGCCCCTTTTCTAAAGATCATAAGTCTTCTTTTTGTTCCTGAGCTCCAGCCAAAGCTCTCTATTTAGCCAGGCTGGTCTTCTTCCCTTCCTGCTTGTTTTTTGGGACTTGGGTATGGCTCTTTCCTGCGCTTTTAAGAGTGCCTCCTTGAAATACGACCAGCCTTCCTGGCCACCTTTGTGTCCCAAGGGACACTTTCAACCCTGCTCCTGAAGAGGCCAAAGTCTGCCCTTCGGAAGTCCCAGGTGGCACTTTTGCTGGCCCCACGTCTTGCTTCAGCAAGAATTGAAAATTGTATTTTGCGGTACTTGAGACTAGAGCGTCAAGAATTTTTCTGGCCCCATGGAAAAAAAATGCCATGGTTTGGTTATTGACGATACATTGTACTTTAAGCTTATATCACTTTGTGAGAACAGACCCAATTTTTAAAGAGAACTTGTTTGTTTGGGTTTTTTCCCTGGTTTGCAGAGGACTGGTCCCTTTACACAACGCCTGCTCGTACGGTCACTACGAAGTCGCGGAGCTGCTGGTTAAACACGGGGCGGTTGTCAACGTAGCTGATCTGTGGAAATTCACTCCCCTGCACGAAGCTGCAGCAAAAGGAAAATATGAGATTTGCAAACTGCTGTTGCAGGTATTCCATGGGCTGGAGAGACGAGCTGCTGCTTTTCCTTTCTTCTTCAGTCTGAAATGGGGTTGGACTGCTTTGAGAAATTGATTTGTGTTCTGTGGTTTCTAAATCATTGTCCTTAACTGTGTTTCCAGCAAGAGGGGTACTATTAGCAACTCTGTTGTCCTTTCTCAGGCAGTAAATGGATGTGAATATGGGTCAGAATATTTGCTCAATTAGGCATCAGATGCCTAAGGCGCAATGTGTTTATTCTACTTAAATACTTTCCACTTGTTTTGATGTGCACAGCATGGAGCTGACCCCACGAAGAAAAACCGGGATGGAAATACTCCTCTGGACCTGGTTAAAGATGGTGATACTGATATTCAGGACTTACTTAGAGGAGATGCAGCTCTTCTGGATGCTGCGAAAAAAGGCTGTTTGGCCCGAGTGAAAAAGCTGTGTTCACCTGACAACGTCAACTGCCGGGACACGCAGGGACGGCACTCAACACCGCTGCATTTAGCAGGTCAGTGTTGGAATTAACTGGATTGATCAGAGTTATTACTGTGCCTGAATTTCCTGTGTCTAAGCAGCTTTAAAGTATAGCCTCAAGCTAGGAGATCCCATATTTTCTCTTAACAAAAAAAAAAAAAAAAAATATTTTTATCTAACTGAAAGAAACAATGCTCTTGATCCTTCTTGAGTTAAGGAGTGTAACCTTCTGGTACGTGTTTATTTCTTTTTAAAGATGAATTCAAAGGTCACTCACTGCTGCAGGCTGCAAGAGAATCAGATGTGGCTCGTATAAAGAAACATCTTTCTTTGGAGACAGTGAACTTCAAGCATCCTCAAACACATGAGACAGCATTGGTAATATCTCAGGATTTATGAATTATTTTTCATATATTGTGGCTGACCTAAACATACTAGGTAATAGCTTAGAACTAAAAATTTCAGTGTCAAAACAGTGTAATTCAGACCAGCCTGGAATATCAAGTGCCTAGTTAAGCAAATACCATTGATTAATAATTTATTCTTAAGGTGAATGTTAGGGCTCATCTAAATTGCCTGTTTAATATAGGCTGTCTGAATGGCTGATTTTCTGTAGAATGGTTTGGTTTTAAGCAACAGTAAGCTGTTTATGTTAGTTTGGTTTGTAAAGCTTGGAGGTTTCCAGCAATTATTGGAGAGGGAGCTCTGGAAAATACCAGAATAAATCCAAAAGCCTATGCGAAATCTCCCAAGTTAATAAGGGCTTCTACATGATTTTGGGTTTTTTTTTCTGTTGACACTGCACACGAGCAACTCCTGACTGCCTGCTGATGAGCAAGCAGTGAAACCCCTGCCCTGCTGTGGCTGGTTGTTAATGCTGCAATGTTTACTGTTCTCAGCACTGTGCTGCTGCCTCTCCCTATCCTAAGAGAAAACAAGTGTGTGAATTGCTGCTGAGGAAAGGAGCCAACATCAATGAAAAAACAAAAGAGTGAGTGGTTACAAATGAATACTCCTAAGTGCTTGTTTAAAAGAGTTTGCAAAATAAATTTTTGAATTATTCTTTCTTTTTTCTCTGTTCTTTTTAAAGCTTCTTGACTCCTCTGCATGTGGCATCAGAAAAGGCTCATAATGATGTTGTAGAAGTGGTTGTGAAACACGAAGCTAAGGTAGGAGTTACTGTTCGTACTTTTTTTTTTGCCTACTGTATAGGTTTTCATACCTTGAGAATGAACAGACTGAGCTGAGCAGACAGACTTTTCTAAAATAGTTCCTTTTGGAAGGTTTTAGATTTATACACTTAAGACATAGGCCATCAGTCAAGCCCGTACATTGAGGCATCATTGTTGGTGTGGTCGTTTTATAAGAACTATGGATGTAGTTCTCACTAATAACTGAAAGCTTGTGGAGTAGCTTAATCGGTGCTTCGTCATCCAGCAGGAGAAATGAAATGCTTAAGGAAAAAAGAAAGTAGGGGATATATTGGAACAAGAAGAAGCCAGACTGAACTGTATAACAGCTAGTGAAGCTAAAATGAAATCATAACAGAGTGTTTAGCGCAAATTTCCACAAAAAGGGAAGGTGGAAAGGAGATACTGTCTGTAATGCTTCAATCCTCCAAAACTAGGAGGTGAATATCTCTCTCATGTCAATTTGATTACGGCCTGACTGCTGTGAATTTTCCAAAGCAATGCTCAAAACCAGAGGAGCAGGAGGGAATCCAAGTAACTTTGGGGTGCAGAGTTTTCAATTGTTAAATACACCTTGACTGAAACACATAGAAAGTCCTCACTCTGAAAAATGGCGATAAGCCAGTGCAGGTGGGAGCTGTTCTGTGTGCTGGCACTGGGGATTTGTGCCAACTTCTGGATGTGGTAGAATTGCTGTAATTGTTTGCTTACACTGGATTAATCACGTCTCTAAAATGGGGGCTGTTTGTCCTCAGTGAATGTAGTTGCAACTTTATGATCTGTTTTTGTTTAAGTTTTATCTTCTGAAGTGTCATGACCTCCAGAAATATGCTGAATATGTTCTTTTAATTAAAAGGAGGAAGAATCCTTGTGAAACTCTCCCAGTCAGCAGTGAAAACGGCTTTGATATTAAGCTTTGATGGTGATGTTTCTTGTCTGTGTTATTTTTAGGTTAATGCTTTAGACAATCTGGGCCAGACCTCTCTGCACAGAGCAGCACACTGCGGGCACCTCCAGACCTGCAGGCTGCTCTTGAGTTCTGGCTGCGATCCCTCCATCGTGTCTCTGCAGGGCTTTACAGCCCTACAGATGGGGACGGAGAGTGTGCAACAGCTGCTGCAAGGTACGACTGATTCATTCAGCACCCGCTGCTGAAGTAACCTGCTGCTTCGTTTTACTTGTAGTTTCAAGTGCTGTCAAGGAGTAACAGTGAACACAATTCCAAAAAATGAACTTTCTACAGAAGACAGTGCCGAGAGCTGGGCTGTGCCGTTCTTACTCCATCACCACGCACGCAGGGAGAGTCCCTGCTCTGGCTGTAGTTAACAATCTCATTTACTCTCTGGTATTCAGCTGTACAGATTGTCAGGCATGCTCAGGTATTTAATGGTACAGCTGTCTGGAATAGTTTTGGAAAAATCTTGATGTAGGGGAGTTGGGGATCTTGTAAGTAGAAAGTGAGTTTCAAAAGCAAAGTCATATCTGCTTTGCACTTTGCAACTGTGAGCAGAGGCAACAGGGTACATGGGTTTTAAAGTTTGGATACTCTACACATAGGTAAGCTACAGTCTAATTCTGAAACTGAGAATCTTTAGTTGGTTCCCCAGTACTTCAGAATGGATAGGAAGTGTGTTGCTAAAGGCAACTTAGCAAACACTGTTGGAGCTAATAGCGACACTGGTAGAGAATAAGAAAAGACAAAACTTGTCTATAATTGGTTAATTTTCTTTTTAAGGGAAATCTTTGAAATACTGAAATGATTTACTGTCTTAACAAATTCCTTCAACTGCATACACTCACTCACTTGTCATGCAACCTTGTTTCTTTTGCAGAAGGGATCCCAGTGGGTAATTCTGATGCAGATCGACAGTTGCTGGAGGCTGCAAAGGCTGGAGATGTGGATACTGTAAAAGTAAGCTTAAACCTGCCCTAAAAATAAGAGAGAATCAAACTACCAAACTACTATTTTTCAAAGCAAGCAATCAAACAGCCCTTCACTGACTGCTTTAGAGTAGTGATCCCTGTCCTAAAACCTTTGCACAGATCTTACAGCTGGCAAAATGTAATGTTCACCACCTCCAAAAGTTTGTCTTATATAAAAAGCACAAGTAAGAAGTCACAGGGTGGATTTGGGAGGAGGGAATATTTAATTAATGTTTTTCTTGGGACACAATCTGCGTAAAGCAAAGGTTTTATGTAGAAATTAATGACTAAAAGAGACTTTAATGCAAACAATTTTTCAAAATTAGATGTCTCTAACAACATTTTATGACTAAATGAAAAGTGTCCCAACACTATATACAGTGATGTGTGTTTTGTTTGGGGTGTTTCACAGAAACTGTGTACAGTTCAAAGTGTGAACTGCAGAGATATTGAAGGACGCCAGTCGACACCCCTTCATTTTGCAGCGGGGTACAACAGGGTGTCTGTTGTCGAGTATCTCCTTCAGCACGGCGCTGATGTGCATGCAAAAGACAAGGGGTAAATACTCAAATGTCTATTTTCTTGGCAGTTGTAATTGCTGATATATGTCACCTCTTGACTACTGTGAGCTGGCCAGCATCCCATCTTTCTTCAGACACTTGATTCTTTTTTATTTCCATGGAAAGTTCTGTTAGATTGAAGACGTTCAGAATATCCACAAAAGTATTTCATGAATTTCACTGAATTTTCCCCCTGCATATCTTCACCACTTCCCAGTATTTCTCCTTGCCTGCCAGGCCCCTTTTCTAAAGATCATAAGTCTTCTTTTCGTTCCTGAGCTCCAGCCAAAGCTCTCTATTTAGCCAGGCTGGTCTTCTTCCCCTCCTGCGTGTTTTTTGGGACTTGGGTATGGCTCTTTCCTGCGCTTTTAAGAGTGCCTCCTTGAAATACGACCAGCCTTCCTGGCCACCTTTGTGTCCCAAGGGACACTTTCAACCCTGCTCCTGAAGAGGCCAAAGTCTGCCCTTTGGAAGTCCCAGGTGGCAGTTTTGCTGGCCCCACGTCTTGCTTCAGCAAGAATTGAAAATTGTATTTTGTGGTACTTGAGACTAGAGCATCAAGAATTTCTCTGGCCCCATGTTTGTACTTCTCTTCAGTCTCTTCAGTGCCACCGGTTGCATTCTTAGCACTTTAGCAGTAGATACTCCTACTGTATTACACTGCTGGGGACATTTGGAAAAAAATGCCATGGTTTGGTTATTGACGGTGTATTGTACTTTAAGCTTATATCACTTTGTGAGAAAAGACCCAATTTTTAAAGAGAATTTGTTTGTTTGGGTTTTTTCCCTGGTTTGCAGAGGACTGGTCCCTTTACACAACGCCTGCTCGTACGGTCACTACGAAGTCGCGGAGCTGCTGGTTAAACACGGGGCGGTTGTCAACGTAGCTGATCTGTGGAAATTCACTCCCCTGCACGAAGCTGCAGCAAAAGGAAAATATGAGATTTGCAAACTGCTGTTGCAGGTATTCCATGGGCTGGAGAGACGAGCTGCTGCTTTTCCTTTCTTCTTCAGTCTGAAATGGGGTTGGACTGCTTTGAGAAATTGATTTGTGTTCTGTGGTTTCTAAATCATTGTCCTTCACTGTGTTTCCAGGAAAAGGGATACTATTAGCAACTCTGTCCTTTCTCAGGCAGTAAATGGATGTGAATATGGGTCAGAATATTTGCTCAATTAGGCATCAGATGCCTAAGGCGCAATGTGTTTATTCTACTTAAATACTTTCCACTTGTTTTGATGTGCACAGCATGGAGCTGACCCCACGAAGAAAAACCGGGATGGAAATACTCCTCTGGACCTGGTTAAAGATGGTGATACTGATATTCAGGACTTACTTAGAGGAGATGCAGCTCTTCTGGATGCTGCGAAAAAGGGCTGTTTGGCCCGAGTGAAAAAGCTGTGTTCACCTGACAACGTCAACTGCCGGGACACGCAGGGACGGCACTCAACACCGCTGCATTTAGCAGGTCAGTGTTGGAATTAACTGGATTGATCAGAGTTATTACTGTGCCTGAATTTCCTGTGTCTAAGCAGCTTTAAAGTATAGCCTCAAGCTAGGAGATCCCACATTTTCTCTTAAAAAAAAAAAAAAAGTATTTTATGCATATAATCTTACGTTTCTCTTCTAAACTATTGAATGACTTTAGTTTTCTGTACTCTCTAGCCAAAGAGGGTCTTCTAATGTTTAGTGACAGAGGTTTTAAAACCAAATACTCTTAAATAGGGTGAAGCTGCCTTCACTAATAGATAATACACTGTATTCACAGGGAATGACATTGTAACTTTCAAGTAATTTAAATTAATTGCTACTTCTCTACAGTTTGTTGAGGGTTGGTTTTTTTTTTTAATACGGTCTATTTATTCTGTCCTTTTGCCACCTTCCAGCCGGCTACAACAATCTGGAGGTGGCAGAATACCTGTTACAGCACGGAGCAGATGTGAATGCCCAGGATAAAGGAGGTTTGATTCCGTTGCATAATGCAGCATCCTATGGGGTAAATATCTCAAAGTTTCTGAGGCTTTATTTATTAAAAAAAAGAAAGTTATGCATGTAATTGACAGCATTGTGAGCCAATACTCTCTAGAAAGCTTTTGCTATTTGGTTGTAATCTTATTTCTAAAACAAACACAAAAATTTGGATCATGGTCAGCTCGAAAATATTTCTTTCCGTTTTTCAGGAGCGGAAATGAAGAAAAGATGATGTCTCTTCTTACACCATTGAACGTTAACTGTCATGCAAGTGATGGCAGAAAGGTATTTTTGTTTCTGATCAGAATGAGTTCACTCTTACATGTTTCACCGTTATTGTTTGATCGGATTTTAGAACGTTAAACATAGAATCTGTCTATTTTCTTCAATATATGTGTGAAAATAAGATTGTACCTCTCAAGCAACCAGCTAATTTGTGGGTTGGTTTTTAACCTTAGAAGGACTGTGTAGGTATTTCCGTCTAGGAGCAGTGAACAAACACCTTTTCTTGGAACTACCTCTTGACCTTCGTACCTGCAGGGAGAGAGAAGGGCGGCTTTGTCACGGATTCTCCTCACTGTCACAGAGACACACGGGCCCCGTAATTGCCATGTGTCCTGGGCAAGGCATTGCTGCTGCTTCAGGAGCTATAAGCAGTGCTAGAGAACTACATGAAAAATGTTCAAAATTTCCATTCTAAAACATCCTGATGGTCTTCTGCCCCTCGCCTACCAGAAGTTCAAATTATTATCAATTTTTGGCATCCTCATCCTCATTACGTACTTGCTTGAGTGGCTTTGCTGGAGGAGCTCATAGAGCAGTTACCCGAGTGCTCTGTGGAGGGTGAGAATTTTCAGGAGTTTTTCCCCCAAGCCCCACTAATTTACCACCCACAAAGATGTGGGTAATAGTCTCTGTTGATAATTTCTGAGCTTCATCTCCTGACTGGCAGGGAGACCTCTTTATAATTGAGCAGTCATCATTTCTAATTGCAGTCTGATTTCCCCTTTCCCAAGAGATGTAGTTTGTCCCAGCAAAGTATTTATGGTGGTAGGCTAAAGGACAGAGATGGACTGCAGGACTCAAAAAGCCTTTAAAAAGGGCCTTCATGACTGCAAGAGTAGCGAGTAAACAATGAACTTAGCTATCAAATGTCTGATTCAAGCACCCTGGTTTGGTTTTTTTTTATGTTGCAAGTATTTTAAAGACTTCAGTAATTAGTACTGTTAACAAGTTTTGAAAAAAATAAATATAAAATCAAACTTTTATTACTGATTACTCCTGTGTTGTGTCATTTCAGTCGACTCCTTTGCATTTAGCAGCTGGGTATAACCGTGTCAAAATAGTGCAGCTCTTACTGCAGCACGGGGCTGACGTACACGCCAAGGATAAAGGGTAGGTTCATTTTTCCTTTGGTCAGAATAAAAAGAATTTGGTTAAAATTGCAATGAAGTAAAGAATAGTAATACTATTTTAACCATGAAGAATTTCTCACTTGAGACCATTGTGCCATCTTTAACCTTTCTGCTGTGACAAAAATACAGAGTTTCCAGGCTTGAGACTTGTGATTCAGTAGAATCCAAGTTGAGCTGACCATAGAACATGTTGCCTTTTAGCCAAATTATTATCTCTTGTTTAATAAAAGACATTTGAACACCACTGTGAAGTCAGCAAATATTGAGAAATGATTGAATCAATCTTAACTTTCTTTCTGCTTCTAAGTTTCTGCACTTCTTTTTGCAAAGAATGTGATAAAAATAGAAGATTTGTTTCCCAGAGTTCTTGTTTGGACTACATTCTCAAGCATTTGGTTGTCGTGTTAGGAAACATAGTGAAATATTGCTGTGTTCTTGTGAAGGAGATCATTGCTGTCACTCCTGAAAATCCCCTGCAGGTAGTTCTTACTGCTGTGGGTTCTGAGTCTGAGGGGAACCTCTTCATTTGCAGTAAGACAGCACAATAAATTTTGCGTCTTTTAATTATTTTAAACGTTTATTGTTCTGAAAAATGCTGATGGGGTTTTCTGTGTTCTTCTCCATCTTCTTATTTCTCCTCAACGTCATTTGAACATCTCTGATACTCCCACATAGTGCTCTGTAGGTGCATTTGAAATTGAGATATGTCTACTGAGAAAGTCACCCTCCCCCTTTCTCTCCTGTACAGAGACTTGGTGCCACTTCACAACGCCTGTTCCTATGGTCACTATGAAGTAACAGAGCTTCTAGTAAAGGTTGGTCTTTGAAGAGATTAAATTGCATATTATTAAATAAGAACAGTTTATAAGACTTAATGCAAGTTGCGTTTTTATTTTGTATTTAGATTTACAAAACTTCCAGAATGGTAGATTGCTTCTGCTCTACCTGTTGGTGATTATTAAGCTGGAGCTACAGAATCTTCTGCTTGCAAGGAAGCTTTTTCCTTATAAATGCACTTTCTGTTTTTAACTTTCTCTGCTTCAAAGTTGAATGTTTTTTTACCAAGTACTTCTTATCTCAACCTTCCCACCCTCACCCCAAAAAAACAACACCAAAAAAACCCCAAAACTGAGAAATACCGAGTTTGACAATAGAACAATATTTTGTAAGACAGAGTATTAAGAGATTTTTTAAAAGAATACTGGTAAAGATCTTCAATGTTTTAAGATTAAAGAGTAATTGGTCTTTTGAGGGCATGAACTTAGAGCGTATATTGTAGTAAGTATAAATAGTGAAGATTTTGTGTTTGTTTGGTTGGTTTTTTTACTGCAGAGGCCCATTGCAAAACTAATCTTTACACTTGTGGTACCAGACAAAAAAAAAATCCCCTCTTGCCTAGACACAGCTGCGTTCCTTACCTGTTATGCTGGAGTCATATTCCTTGTTGGATTTCTGCTCCAGGGAGTCAGGAATTATTTTTTGCAAAGCACTGCAGTGGTAACAGGATCAGTGGGAAAGAGCACGTCCTGTCAGACGTGCTTACAGAACTCCAGGTGCATATAGGATGTTACTGGAGAAGAATTACGCAGATATTAATCATCCAAAACTATTACTTGCAGAACCTTATACTTAAATGTTTTGAATTGAAGCCAATTTTGAGTGTCTGTCTCCTCCTAGATATCTTGGGATTCATCTCTTGGTGGGTAGTCACAGAACGTGTGTTTATCTTAGTGCAACTGTTCACTCTAGACTTTTTCTAGAGGAACAAGAAACAGGAGCTTGTTCAAAGGTGACTTGGAGTATGTGAGTTAGGCTCTTTCTCCAGTGTGACGTGTAGCAGAGCTACTGTCCTTCTCAAGATGCTGGAGAAAGCCTTGAAGAGACCAGCCTGCATTGGGCTTTTTTGAATGTATCTGTAAGGCACTAGGGGATTAGAAACTGCAATGTGCTGAAATGTTGTGTTATATTGAAAAGGAGCATCTTGGATACAGTTTGCATACAAGCATTGATTTTTATTTTAACAGTCTACTGCTTTGTAACTAATGACAGAAGTCTTTCTATTGATCTGGTTTTAATGCATCCTTTCTGCCCCTTTCCCTTGGAAGCACGGCGCGTGTGTGAACGCGATGGATCTGTGGCAGTTCACCCCTCTGCACGAAGCAGCCTCTAAGAACAGGGTGGAAGTGTGTTCTCTTCTGTTAAGTTACGGTGCTGACCCTACACTCTTGAACTGTCACAACAAAAGCACCATCGATTTGGCTCCAACACCCCAATTAAAAGAGCGATTAGCATGTGAGTATTGAGCAAGATCAGCTCTACAGTTACAGATTGTGGTGGGTCCTTAGGTTCCCTGGATGGTGACCCACCAGAAAGCAGATGTGGAAAATGCTTTCAAGCAATTGAGCAATGTTGGACAGTACATTTCACTGTTTAGAAATTGAGATTGCTAGATTTTTTTGAACATAGGCCTTTAAAATAATTTTATTGTCAGTTTTATAGTCGTGGTTGTGATGGGTTTTGTAGCTTTTCTTCCCTGTAGCTTTCCCTCATGACCTTGCCAGTACGCTTTCATTTTCCATACTTGCTCCTGTCACTGCGTCAAGACTGCTGAAATACACATTTTTATTCCACTGTGTTTTGTTTGAAGAAAAGAAAAAACATAACTGTTTAGAATTCTGAGTTTGTTTGAGTATGCAGCTTGGTATTTTACACCAACAATTGCTAAAAGAAATTGATGAAAGGCGCTGATTTTTGTCCAGCAGACTTGAGTTGAAAAGAATGCCCTCAAATTCTGTCCTTCATGGCCAAACAATAACTTTGTGGGACATGTACAGAAATTCCCAGTAAATACTACACTGGGCTTCATGTTAGCATCTAGACATGGTTTTCCAAAGGCAGGTCAGAAGTAGAGATTTATATGTGCTTGAGTTGGTACGTGTGGGAAGAGCAGAACCTAGAGGAGTGGGGAGTGACGTGGATGTTGTTCAGCCAGTTCAGGTGGCTCTGCCTTCGCTTCAGAAACTAAGCGTGTCCCTGTAGCGTTCTGACTTAGCTAACAAGTGCTGTCAAGTGGGGGAAAAACTGCCCTTTGAGTTGGAAATGTCTGCTCTGTGGTCTGTTGAATAAACTGAATATTTTTATCTAACTGAAAGAAACAATGCTCTTGATCCTTCTTGAGTTAAGGAGTGTAACCTTCTGGTACGTGTTTATTTCTTTTTAAAGATGAATTCAAAGGTCACTCACTGCTGCAGGCTGCAAGAGAATCAGATGTGGCTCGTATAAAGAAACATCTTTCTTTGGAGACAGTGAACTTCAAGCATCCTCAAACACATGAGACAGCATTGGTAATATCTCAGGATTTATGAATTATTTTTCATATATTGTGGCTGACCTAAACATACTAGGTAATAGCTTAGAACTAAAAATTTCAGTGTCAAAACAGTGTAATTCAGACCAGCCTGGAATATCAAGTGCCTAGTTAAGCAAATACCATTGATTAATAATTTATTCTTAAGGTGAATGTTAGGGCTCATCTAAATTGCCTGTTTAATATAGGCTGTCTGAATGGCTGATTTTCTGTAGAATGGTTTGGTTTTAAGCAACAGTAAGCTGTTTATGTTAGTTTGGTTTGTAAAGCTTGGAGGTTTCCAGCAATTATTGGAGAGGGAGCTCTGGAAAATACCAGAATAAATCCAAAAGCCTATGCGAAATCTCCCAAGTTAATAAGGGCTTCTACATGATTTTGGGTTTTTTTTTCTGTTGACACTGCACACGAGCAACTCCTGACTGCCTGCTGATGAGCAAGCAGTGAAACCCCTGCCCTGCTGTGGCTGGTTGTTAATGCTGCAATGTTTACTGTTCTCAGCACTGTGCTGCTGCCTCTCCCTATCCTAAGAGAAAACAAGTGTGTGAATTGCTGCTGAGGAAAGGAGCCAACATCAATGAAAAAACAAAAGAGTGAGTGGTTACAAATGAATACTCCTAAGTGCTTGTTTAAAAGAGTTTGCAAAATAAATTTTTGAATTATTCTTTCTTTTTTCTCTGTTCTTTTTAAAGCTTCTTGACTCCTCTGCATGTGGCATCAGAAAAGGCTCATAATGATGTTGTAGAAGTGGTTGTGAAACACGAAGCTAAGGTAGGAGTTACTGTTCGTACTTTTTTTTTTGCCTACTGTATAGGTTTTCATACCTTGAGAATGAACAGACTGAGCTGAGCAGACAGACTTTTCTAAAATAGTTCCTTTTGGAAGGTTTTAGATTTATACACTTAAGACATAGGCCATCAGTCAAGCCCGTACATTGAGGCATCATTGTTGGTGTGGTCGTTTTATAAGAACTATGGATGTAGTTCTCACTAATAACTGAAAGCTTGTGGAGTAGCTTAATCGGTGCTTCGTCATCCAGCAGGAGAAATGAAATGCTTAAGGAAAAAAGAAAGTAGGGGATATATTGGAACAAGAAGAAGCCAGACTGAACTGTATAACAGCTAGTGAAGCTAAAATGAAATCATAACAGAGTGTTTAGCGCAAATTTCCACAAAAAGGGAAGGTGGAAAGGAGATACTGTCTGTAATGCTTCAATCCTCCAAAACTAGGAGGTGAATATCTCTCTCATGTCAATTTGATTACGGCCTGACTGCTGTGAATTTTCCAAAGCAATGCTCAAAACCAGAGGAGCAGGAGGGAATCCAAGTAACTTTGGGGTGCAGAGTTTTCAATTGTTAAATACACCTTGACTGAAACACATAGAAAGTCCTCACTCTGAAAAATGGCGATAAGCCAGTGCAGGTGGGAGCTGTTCTGTGTGCTGGCACTGGGGATTTGTGCCAACTTCTGGATGTGGTAGAATTGCTGTAATTGTTTGCTTACACTGGATTAATCACGTCTCTAAAATGGGGGCTGTTTGTCCTCAGTGAATGTAGTTGCAACTTTATGATCTGTTTTTGTTTAAGTTTTATCTTCTGAAGTGTCATGACCTCCAGAAATATGCTGAATATGTTCTTTTAATTAAAAGGAGGAAGAATCCTTGTGAAACTCTCCCAGTCAGCAGTGAAAACGGCTTTGATATTAAGCTTTGATGGTGATGTTTCTTGTCTGTGTTATTTTTAGGTTAATGCTTTAGACAATCTGGGCCAGACCTCTCTGCACAGAGCAGCACACTGCGGGCACCTCCAGACCTGCAGGCTGCTCTTGAGTTCTGGCTGCGATCCCTCCATCGTGTCTCTGCAGGGCTTTACAGCCCTACAGATGGGGACGGAGAGTGTGCAACAGCTGCTGCAAGGTACGACTGATTCATTCAGCACCCGCTGCTGAAGTAACCTGCTGCTTCGTTTTACTTGTAGTTTCAAGTGCTGTCAAGGAGTAACAGTGAACACAATTCCAAAAAATGAACTTTCTACAGAAGACAGTGCCGAGAGCTGGGCTGTGCCGTTCTTACTCCATCACCACGCACGCAGGGAGAGTCCCTGCTCTGGCTGTAGTTAACAATCTCATTTACTCTCTGGTATTCAGCTGTACAGATTGTCAGGCATGCTCAGGTATTTAATGGTACAGCTGTCTGGAATAGTTTTGGAAAAATCTTGATGTAGGGGAGTTGGGGATCTTGTAAGTAGAAAGTGAGTTTCAAAAGCAAAGTCATATCTGCTTTGCACTTTGCAACTGTGAGCAGAGGCAACAGGGTACATGGGTTTTAAAGTTTGGATACTCTACACATAGGTAAGCTACAGTCTAATTCTGAAACTGAGAATCTTTAGTTGGTTCCCCAGTACTTCAGAATGGATAGGAAGTGTGTTGCTAAAGGCAACTTAGCAAACACTGTTGGAGCTAATAGCGACACTGGTAGAGAATAAGAAAAGACAAAACTTGTCTATAATTGGTTAATTTTCTTTTTAAGGGAAATCTTTGAAATACTGAAATGATTTACTGTCTTAACAAATTCCTTCAACTGCATACACTCACTCACTTGTCATGCAACCTTGTTTCTTTTGCAGAAGGGATCCCAGTGGGTAATTCTGATGCAGATCGACAGTTGCTGGAGGCTGCAAAGGCTGGAGATGTGGATACTGTAAAAGTAAGCTTAAACCTGCCCTAAAAATAAGAGAGAATCAAACTACCAAACTACTATTTTTCAAAGCAAGCAATCAAACAGCCCTTCACTGACTGCTTTAGAGTAGTGATCCCTGTCCTAAAACCTTTGCACAGATCTTACAGCTGGCAAAATGTAATGTTCACCACCTCCAAAAGTTTGTCTTATATAAAAAGCACAAGTAAGAAGTCACAGGGTGGATTTGGGAGGAGGGAATATTTAATTAATGTTTTTCTTGGGACACAATCTGCGTAAAGCAAAGGTTTTATGTAGAAATTAATGACTAAAAGAGACTTTAATGCAAACAATTTTTCAAAATTAGATGTCTCTAACAACATTTTATGACTAAATGAAAAGTGTCCCAACACTATATACAGTGATGTGTGTTTTGTTTGGGGTGTTTCACAGAAACTGTGTACAGTTCAAAGTGTGAACTGCAGAGATATTGAAGGACGCCAGTCGACACCCCTTCATTTTGCAGCGGGGTACAACAGGGTGTCTGTTGTCGAGTATCTCCTTCAGCACGGCGCTGATGTGCATGCAAAAGACAAGGGGTAAATACTCAAATGTCTATTTTCTTGGCAGTTGTAATTGCTGATATATGTCACCTCTTGACTACTGTGAGCTGGCCAGCATCCCATCTTTCTTCAGACACTTGATTCTTTTTTATTTCCATGGAAAGTTCTGTTAGATTGAAGACGTTCAGAATATCCACAAAAGTATTTCATGAATTTCACTGAATTTTCCCCCTGCATATCTTCACCACTTCCCAGTATTTCTCCTTGCCTGCCAGGCCCCTTTTCTAAAGATCATAAGTCTTCTTTTCGTTCCTGAGCTCCAGCCAAAGCTCTCTATTTAGCCAGGCTGGTCTTCTTCCCCTCCTGCGTGTTTTTTGGGACTTGGGTATGGCTCTTTCCTGCGCTTTTAAGAGTGCCTCCTTGAAATACGACCAGCCTTCCTGGCCACCTTTGTGTCCCAAGGGACACTTTCAACCCTGCTCCTGAAGAGGCCAAAGTCTGCCCTTTGGAAGTCCCAGGTGGCAGTTTTGCTGGCCCCACGTCTTGCTTCAGCAAGAATTGAAAATTGTATTTTGTGGTACTTGAGACTAGAGCATCAAGAATTTCTCTGGCCCCATGTTTGTACTTCTCTTCAGTCTCTTCAGTGCCACCGGTTGCATTCTTAGCACTTTAGCAGTAGATACTCCTACTGTATTACACTGCTGGGGACATTTGGAAAAAAATGCCATGGTTTGGTTATTGACGGTGTATTGTACTTTAAGCTTATATCACTTTGTGAGAAAAGACCCAATTTTTAAAGAGAATTTGTTTGTTTGGGTTTTTTCCCTGGTTTGCAGAGGACTGGTCCCTTTACACAACGCCTGCTCGTACGGTCACTACGAAGTCGCGGAGCTGCTGGTTAAACACGGGGCGGTTGTCAACGTAGCTGATCTGTGGAAATTCACTCCCCTGCACGAAGCTGCAGCAAAAGGAAAATATGAGATTTGCAAACTGCTGTTGCAGGTATTCCATGGGCTGGAGAGACGAGCTGCTGCTTTTCCTTTCTTCTTCAGTCTGAAATGGGGTTGGACTGCTTTGAGAAATTGATTTGTGTTCTGTGGTTTCTAAATCATTGTCCTTCACTGTGTTTCCAGGAAAAGGGATACTATTAGCAACTCTGTCCTTTCTCAGGCAGTAAATGGATGTGAATATGGGTCAGAATATTTGCTCAATTAGGCATCAGATGCCTAAGGCGCAATGTGTTTATTCTACTTAAATACTTTCCACTTGTTTTGATGTGCACAGCATGGAGCTGACCCCACGAAGAAAAACCGGGATGGAAATACTCCTCTGGACCTGGTTAAAGATGGAGATACTGATATTCAGGACTTACTTAGAGGAGATGCAGCTCTTCTGGATGCTGCGAAAAAGGGCTGTTTGGCCCGAGTGAAAAAGCTGTGTTCACCTGACAACGTCAACTGCCGGGACACGCAGGGACGGCACTCAACACCGCTGCATTTAGCAGGTCAGTCTTGTAATTAACTGGATCGATCAGAGTTATTACTGTGCCTGAACTTCCTGTGTCTAAGCAGCTTTAAAGTATAGCCTCAAGCTAGGAGATCCCACATTTTCTCTTAAAAAAAAAAAAAAAGTATTTTATGCATATAATCTTACGTTTCTCTTCTAAACTATTGAATGACTTTAGTTTTCTGTACTCTCTAGCCAAAGAGGGTCTTCTAATGTTTAGTGACAGAGGTTTTAAAACCAAATACTCTTAAATAGGGTGAAGCTGCCTTCACTAATAGATAATACACTGTATTCACAGGGAATGACATTGTAACTTTCAAGTAATTTAAATTAATTGCTACTTCTCTACAGTTTGTTGAGGGTTGGTTTTTTTTTTTAATACGGTCTATTTATTCTGTCCTTTTGCCACCTTCCAGCCGGCTACAACAATCTGGAGGTGGCAGAATACCTGTTACAGCACGGAGCAGATGTGAATGCCCAGGATAAAGGAGGTTTGATTCCGTTGCATAATGCAGCATCCTATGGGGTAAATATCTCAAAGTTTCTGAGGCTTTATTTATTAAAAAAAAGTTATGCATGTAATTGACAGCATTGTGAGCCAATACTCTCTAGAAAGCTTTTGCTATTTGGTTGTAATCTTATTTCTAAAACAAACACAAAAATTTGGATCCTGGTCAGCTCATTGTATAGGTGAAGACTTTCTTGAATTTGTGAAGTCATGGTTGGAGTTCACAGAATTTTAGTTTTCTGAACATGAATACTTAGAAAGCCAATGGTCAGCTCGTTGTATAGGTGAAGACTTTCTTGGAATTTGTGAAGTCATGGTTGGAATTCACAGAATTTGAGTTTTCTGAACATGAATACTTAGAAAGCCAGCAGCCTGAAAGGTGTGCCATAAAATGCATGTCCTTACCTGTGCCAGTCCAATTGTACCAGCAAGATCTCATTTTCATTTAGTTGGCTGGTTTTGAGACAGTAATTGTTTTTGTCGGCTTCTGGGATCTTTGTGCTTAGATCAAGTCTTTAATCAAAACAGTTGGAGTACTTTCCAAACTGGGAGTTCAAATTCAGGCTTTTTTCCCTTCGGATTCCCCTGGATGTGGGATTCTGTTGTAGTCTGTCTTTTTTAAAGAAGAGGAAACAAATCTGAACTTTTTACTGTTACATTACAGGTGAGGAAGAAAACACCTTGTTTTAATAAATCTTTTTAATCATCATTAAAAAGTAACTGTATTCTAAGAAAATTAGGAATGAGGATTGCAGAGAAGTGCCAGTAATAGTGGTGAGTTAGTTTAATACATTGTGGCACCTTGGAATTTCACAGTTGTGTTTCTTTTGCAGCACGTGGATGTAGCAGCTTTACTGATCAAGTACAACGCCTGTGTGAACGCCACGGACAAATAAGTAATAGTGGTGAGTTACTTTAATACATTGTGGCACCTTGGAATTTCACAGTTGTGTTTCTTTTGCAGCACGTGGATGTAGCAGCTTTACTGATCAAGTACAACGCCTGTGTGAACGCCACGGACAAATGGGCTTTCACCCCCCTGCACGAGGCAGCCCAGAAGGGACGGACACAGCTCTGTGCCTTGTTACTGGCACATGGGGCTGATCCCACCCTGAAGAACCAGGAAGGACAGACACCACTGGACCTGGTCACTGTAAGTGCTGGGGTGGCTTTTGGGACATCTCTACTTACCTGCCCCTGGTGGCAGCTCATTTAGGAACTATCCTTAAAAAAAATAATCATAGTCATACAGCAACTTCTGCCAAATTTAAAATCCTGAGGTTTCTCTGGTGTTTCTATGTGTCTGGTAAGGAAAGTCAGTAGAGCCTTTATAAACTTTTTTATTTTCTTGCTCAAGATTTCTTATCACAGGATAGAAGGCAGGGGGGGAGAAACACTAACAAAAGGAAGTCATGCTTATGGTTTGATGCTTTTAATTTGGTACTTATAGTTTGACTAATACAAAATTTGTGGCAATAAATGTAAGCAAACTTTGTAGCAACATAAATTTAGGGAACTATCCAGCTGTTAAGTTTTTGGGTGGTTTTTCTTTTTTTAAAGTATTATAATACAGGTCAAAGCTGCACTCGGAGTAACTGTTTTGTATCATGAATTCTAGTTGCCAGTAGAAGCTTTTGTTCATTTTCCTAAAAGATGGATGCTGTTTAACTGTCCCTAAAGTTTGTTAGAAATATTGAAGTCTTTTTATCTTATTGCCATTTTTATTTATAAACATTTTACAGTTTAATGTATGCTGTTGGCACAAAAGACTGCTTGTGAAGTGCATTGTAAAATGTGTATTTTTCCCATACGTGTGTATTTGTTTTGCAGTGCAGTTAAGAAGTCTGGAATAATGATAATGCATTCCAGGGGGGAAAAAAATGTCTAAAAGTGTTCCTGTGTTTTAACAACTTGTTTTCTGCTCTGTAGGCAGATGATGTCAGCGCGTTACTGACAGCGGCGATGCCTCCCTCCGCCTTGCCCACTTGCTACAAGCCTCAGGTTATCAGCGTGTCTCAGAGCACAGGTTCTGCCAGTGACTCCCTGGCTTCTGTTCCCCCCAGCCCCTCCAGTCTCTCTGCAGCCAGCAGCCTCGACAACTTGTCCGGGAGTTTTTCTGAACTTCCTTCTGTGGTTGGTCCCAACAGCGCGGAGGGAGCTGCTGTTCTGGAGAAAAAAGAAGGTGAGGCTTTCTCAGGTAGGCATGGCTCACATTGGCTACCAGAGGGCAAAAAGAATACACAGCTACTGTGACACATGCAGTGTCCCTATTCCTTACGATGACATTAATGAGAAACAGAAGTCTAAAAGTCTTTTAGTGTAAGATTTTAGTACTTTCGCCTTACAGAGTCTTTAAAATGCTCCCTTTTTTGCTGTACGGACCCAAAGTGGTGAATTGTGTTTTTAAAATAAATCGTCAAATGAAGTTTGGCTCCCTCCCAAGCAGTATTTTAGTACAAACTTTATCCAGTCTCTAAGATGCTATTCTTAGATCAGGTATCTTGCAAAGGTTACTTCTGTAACGTTTTAGTTCTCTAAATATTTTCTGGTTGAACACACATCTGTGGCAGCTGGTGAGTTGCACAGCTGGTGAGTTGCACAGCTGGGGGAGCACAAGGGCTGCTCTTAGGAGGGGTGGAAATCCTAAGGGTACCAGGGTGGGTCAAGGAATAGTGGCCTCTGGTTAGTGATACAGGTATTTATTCCCCATCTTCAGAAGACCAGGAATTTCTGTCTCGTTATTGCCACAAGCAGTGGGAGGTGTGTATACTTCAATTTACAATGCATATATGAATGTTCATTTTGAATTTCTCTTCTTATCCAGTTTCAGGTGTAGATTTTAGCATAAATCAGTTTGTGCGGAACCTCGGCCTTGAACATCTCATTGACATATTTGAGAGGGAACAGGTAAGTAGCTGTATTTGTCTGCAGATACTCAGCTAGAAAGCAATAATGATACTGACTATTTAGAATAACCTCATGAGACTGACAAAATGAGTGAATGTCAAAAGGAGTGGAATGAAAGAAAGGAGCTTAATTAGATTTTTTTAATTGGTATATACTATAAATATATATTAAAATACATGCATATATCAAAAACTGGGGGGCAGTAATGTCTATGTCAGTTTGAGAGCGTAGGCATGTTTTCTTTTGGTAGTAAAAATGGTGGAGTAAATAAAAGTAGTTATTGTTGATTAGTAATTTCTGGGTTTGTTTCTGTTGGATTGAATACATCTAAAAAATTGTATTTCTCAATCAGAAATATGATTGTTGAAAGAAATACAAATAACATGGTTGTAGTTCGTAGCAAATTTATTGAAAGACCAAAGTTTGGAGAAAACAGTTGGGTAAAAGTAAAGTACAAGAATAATACACGAAAGTCTCTGTTTTCTTTTCACACTTGCTTTTTATCACAACTATTGTGGGGGGCATTTTCATTGTCATTGGCAGCTCTTGTACTCTGTTTATGCTGGCCTGCAAAATAATGGTGTTGCTTTCATTGTAGATAACACTGGATGTACTGGTTGAAATGGGACACAAAGAATTGAAGGAAATTGGAATTAATGCTTACGGCCATAGGCATAAAATCATTAAAGGAGTTGAAAGACTCATTTCTGGACAGCAAGGTATATTCTGGTTTCAAATTAGTATGTAACCCTGCTGCTGTATCAATGCTTCAGATTATTCCAGGTTGTATCACATTAAAAAAAATTGATAATAAAACTTGTCCTAGAAAACGGCACTACAAATGATAAGAATGTTTCTGACTTGAAACAAGCACTTGTTTGTGCTGTGAATTACTGTGAATCTTGCCTTTCGGTTCTCGAAATTGGTTATAAACCAAGTGACATCTGCAAAAATGTATGTGGCTGGTAGAAGGCAGTTAAAGTCAGTGGTAATCTCTGCCTTCCTCAGCAGCTACCTCTTCATCCTGTAAACTGAGGTTTGAGAACATGGTGCCTTTAAAAAGAAGGATGTTAGTGGTTCTCATTGCAAACCAGCAGTCTTAAAGCAGTGTCTGAAACTTTGCTGTGTTTTGTTACATTCACAGGACTCAACCCATACCTGACCCTAAACACTGCTGGCAGTGGAACTATTCTCATAGACCTTTCCACGGAAGATAAGGAATTTCAATCAGTGGAAGAGGAGGTACATGCCTTTGTTTGTAGGCTCTTAGTATTGTTAGTTTTAGTAAAGAAGTAGATAAAGTAGTGTTGCCAGAGATTTTAACAGTGCAATAAACATCTCTAAGCCTAAGAAAAACTTGGATAGGGATGCTTCAGGTTTCTAACTTTGACTGTACCCCTTATAATCTGTGCTTATGACGTCCGTAAGTTTTTTCTTACTTAATGTTATTACTGCTTGTATTTTTAAAGCCTCTTCTATGTAGAAAAGGTCTTTGATATAACATATAAATTCTAGTGATGGCCTGTCTGTTATACACGGCTTTTAGTCACTTCCTTCCAAAGTGTTATGATCACACAGAGCAAAATTCCAAAGAAACAGTATTCTAAATAGATTAGTGATGATCTTTTTCAATTTGAAAACTAGACTGTGGACTATTCAAGGTATGTTTATTAAAAAAAAAATAATCATTGAACCTGTTCTTGTGCATCCACAAAATCTGGCATTACTTAACCTACAGTCATTGCCTAAAAATTTCTTGTATAATTTTTTTTTAATTTTTTTGGGGATAGAACTATTTCTTTTGGTTATTTGACTGTGGGAAGGATGTGTATGTTGAATGTGTTGTGACACAAACTGATCCTCCTTAAAACTGTCAATCTTCAGATGCAGAGTACTGTCCGAGAGCACAGAGATGGAGGACATGCTGGTGGAGTCTTCAATAGATACAACATCTTAAAGGTGGCTCTTGCATTTTTATGGTGGATGGTTACACCTGAAAGAGTTTGGGCTGAAAACAAAATGTCCATAAAATGTTCTACATTGGTCTGAGTTCCATAGTGTGAGTAGATGTGCCGTCTGAGACGTGCACAGGAAGAAGATTGTCTTCCAGGGAAATTAAGAGTAAGATTATATGGAAAAACTGGTTATTGGTTAATATTCAGTAAGAAATTTTATGAGAAATTTACCTAGAAAGACTTCACAGAAAACTGCAGAATGTTTGAAGAAAAAGACAGAAGGTTTTATAGGAAACAAAGGAAGGTTTCTGTTGAGGGAACGGAGGGGAAGAACAGCGAGAAGTGAAAGCAAAACTCTTGAAGCCTGGAAGTAAGGGGACCTGTTTGGGCTTGATTTAACATCAAAGGAGCCTAGAACACCGGGCAGAAAATCCTGCTTTAAACCATTTAGTGGAATCTTGGTTTCCTTTTTCTTTTTTTTTTTTTCCCCTGAAGAAATGGTCATTTTCATTAAAATGCTAGAGATTTTGATTTTCAAGTAAGTGACTGAATTTATAATTAAGCGTATAATTACGATTTACTGAAGCTACACTTCAACGATAACTTCTGCAGGATAAGTTAGAAAATTAGTGTTCCATTGAGTTCTAAGGAGAGTGCTCTCTTTAGGCGGCAGGGGAAGTGTACCACGGGCTAGCTGCTGTGGGTTAAACAGCTGTTACCTAGAGCAAACAGAAGTTTGCAGTTTCCAGGGCAGAACTTACATTTTTACTGTTTCAGATTCAGAAAGTGTGCAACAAAAAACTGTGGGAAAGATACACTCACAGGAGGAAAGAGGTCTCTGAAGAGAATCATAACCACGCCAACGAAAGAATGCTGTTTCATGGTGAGATACTGAAATGCACCTTAGGAAGTAGTTTTACCACCAACACTCTTTATTGGAGGGTTCCTACTGGCTCACAGTAAATGTTCTCAATGGAAATAGGTTCTAGGGTTTGCATGAGTGTTATGTGAACAAGTGTTTGTCTATGTCACAGTGAGGGTGCATAACACAACGCTGAAATAGCATCTCTGTGTCTCTCCCTGGAGGAGACTTCTAAGTTTGAAGTGGAACAGTTAGCAATTAGGAGTGGAGATGTGAAGGGGTGTGCTGCCTCCTTCCTTACACTGCTAATTCTGTGCTATCAGCTCTACCACCAAAATGAGCAAGAGTCAGACTTTATTCTGCTATGGGTTGTTTGGGCTGGGATTTTTTGTTTTCTTGTTTTTATGATTTGGTAAGTTAGTTCTCATTCATCATTCCAGATAACTGGCATTAAATTTACTAATTATAAGCTGAAAGCTCTTCTGTGCACAAATACGTAGCTTGTGCTGACGAGGGAATTAAGCAAGTTCACGATACATCCTTACAATGAAACCTTCCTAGTTCCCAACATAAGGCATTGCTGTTGGAAGCAGCAGTAACACGATAATTAACTCCTTGCCCAAACCTGTAGGTGCCTACATCCGGTCTTGTGACTCTGGTCTGTGCCCTGCAAGAGGAAACAGCCTCTTAATTGAATGACCTGTCATTAAAGGAAAATAATTAACTGCTTGCCCAAACCTGTAGGTGCCTAAATCCGATCTTGTGACTGGTCTGTGCCCTGCAAGAGGAAACAGACTCTTAATTGAATGACCTGTCATTAAAGGAAAGTCTTTTAAATTAGTTAGATAATAACAAAATTAGCCCTGGAATAAAGCAATTTAATGCCTTATGAGTGTTGTTTTTGGGGTTTTTTTAAGTCTTTATTAAAATATTTTTAAGCATTAACAAATGTCTTTTAACCGCGCATGCTGCTTGCAGGGGATGACAAGCAATTGCCATAGTCTTTTCTCGTTCTCATCTGGGATGTTCTCCTGCTTCATACATGGTTGTACTTCCTTTCTCACAGGCTCCCCATTCGTGAATGCCATCATCCACAAGGGCTTTGATGAGAGACATGCCTACATAGGTGGCATGTTTGGAGCTGGCATTTATTTTGCTGAAAATTCTTCCAAAAGCAATCAGTACGTGTATGGAATTGGAGGTGGCACTGGCTGTCCAATTCACAAAGATAGATCTTGTTATGTTTGCCACAGGTAAGTCATTCAAAAGAATCTGATTTTGCCATTGTCTGTTGTGTTCTAGACCATCAAGTCAGCAGAGCCCCTCTCTGAAAAAAGATTTGCGTAGTAACCAACGCTGCTCAGCGCTCTGTGTATGCTGGGCCCAATAGGGACTTGCAGAAAACTTTGATATTTAAGTCTTAAAGAATCTTTAACCATCTTCAGTGCATTTAACCAAACCTTTGCCCTTAACTTACTATAAAATCAGACTTGAGTAGCTAGAGAGTGAAGAGGATCTTTGAGATGCTTGTGTGAAAGGTGCAGCAATAGGAGGGTTTAGTCTATTGCCTGTGACAGAGAAAGGAGAATATCAGTGATATTCAGGTGTGGGGTTTCTTTGAGATGGATGGACTCTGTACCAGTCACTGCTGCTCCACACCCTCAAGTACAGATGTGGATTTGTGGACTCTCTACCATTAATTGAGTTCTTAAGTCCATTTTTCTGCCAAAGGCCTAATGTCTTACTGCTGCCGTCAGTTCAGACTAGAGTTAATCTGACTGCATGGAGTTAATTGTGGTAGTGGTCGTTGTTTCAACCAGGAGAGTATTCTGTGGTTTGCATTGGTGTCACAGGAATAAGGTGGTTCTTGCAGTTTCCTTCCTTGAGTCTCTGCCCCTTTTCATATTTCTTACTCTTTTCTGGCGCTCCCAAAATAAAGAGAATAATCTAGAATTATAGAGGATGTCAGAGTCTTTTCATGCTTTCTAAAGTTTTGAATAAAAAGATTTTTTAATTTGTCTTCTGTAAAGAATCAGAAAAGCAAGTTTTGGCTGAACAAAATGATACGTAACATTGATCTGCAGAATTGCTGATTCCATTGGAATGGCAGTAGGACAGATCTAGGTAGTACATCTGTAAAGTGCCCTTCTGTCTTTTTATAACGAAAACACCAGAACATACTGACAGATGTTAGTGTGAGGTATTTCGTGTTGACCTAGAGCTTGCTCCTGGCCTTGGTGTTGATGTGGCAGTTAGATACAAATCTAGTGCTGGAACACAGGTGGATTATGTTGTTAGTGTGAGTGATGGGGGGGACCCTCCCAAAACTTAAAAAATAACAAAAAAAACCCAACTACATGGTAGTGACAGGATTTGAATACATTAAGCATGCTCTTTCCAGTAATTAATATCAACGTTTTTCAGTGTTATTACCAACCATTTCCTCAGGCTAAAGAGCTTTTCCAAGGGGAGCATAACGCTTCAAATCCCAAAGACAGTCTTTGTGGCTTTCTACACCAGTATTTTGTGTTCAGTGTCCTTTTTGCCTTTTAACCCAGGCAGTTGCTGTTCTGCCGCGTGACCCTGGGCAAGTCCTTCCTGCAGTTCAGTGCCATGAAAATGGCTCATTCCCCCCCAGGACATCACTCCGTCACCGGGCGCCCCAGTGTAAATGGACTGGCACTGGCAGAATATGTCATTTACAGAGGGGAGCAGGTGAGCACCTTCTCGGTCTGGCTTTTCAGAGGGCTTCTTTTAAGGGCTTGTAGTGTGTTGGGTGTTGGTTTTACTTTCAAGGTGCTGGGACTTGCTTTTGTCTTAAAGCAAACTCCTGCTGTGGTGGCAGGTGACAGGATCCACGTCCCGTGAATGCTCCTGGTGTTTTACCTCGGGCTTTTTGCCCTTTTGTCTTGGGCATGTTTTCCCTTCTCTAGCAAACCTTCTGAATTGATTCAGAAAATGGAATCCCACCAACGAATGTGTGTGTTGCTCTTCCAGGCTTATCCAGAATACTTGATCACGTACCAGATCATGAAACCTGAAGCCACCACTGAAGCTTAAGGCAAACGCCGTGTGGGGAATCGTCAGACGTGGGATGTGACAATGCCGATGGCTCCCGTCCTGTTAATTACAGCAAGGTGTTGCAAAACTCTCATCCACAGGTGGTGTGGTAGCAAATGTGAACAAAATATACCATTTTTGACTTGATAAAGCTTTAATAATGTACAGTATGTTTTTTCTAAAATTTCAGAAATGTCCTCTTTTTCAGCACTTTAACAGATACCATTCCAGGCGTAAACTGGGGTTTGGCTGTACTAAATTATAAACAAAAATTAACTTGAAACAATGGTTTTATACAATACTGCATTGAAATTTAGCAGAAATTGTAACGCTCTATACAGGAACTCATTTTACTAATATCGTGTTCTTTAAAACACTGCATTTACACTGAAAACGTTTTCATTTGTAAAACTGTAAATAAGAGCTTTTGTACTAGCCTGGTATTTATTTACATTGCTTTGTAATATAAGTGTTTTAGAACTGCAACCTTGTACAAAATGGGTTTTCCCAGATGTCGGTTTGTTCATCTGTGTTTTCTCATGCACGATAGATTTGAAAAGCCAATTTTTTTTCAGGGTTTATCGCTTATTTGTGAGGGAGACAGCAAATTTTATCTGAAGAAATTTAGAAATATCCAGTTTTAGGTTGAATACACAGGGGTTTTTTTTCTGTATCTTTATTTATGAAATATACATTCCTGAGAATGATGGGATATGGAAATAGAGTGTTCCAGCTGAATACTAAAGTGTGTTCCCACCTACTTCCTAGAGTTGCATTTTATTTCTGTAAAATGTCTTCTGGAGTTTTTTATTTAACTGTAGGTATAGTTAACCTGTAGCCTCACTTCAAGGCTAGTAGACCTTGCAAGTTACAGTTTTAGTAAATTATTTTCTTCGAATGTAGTTGGAAAATTAACCTCAAGGAGGTCTTTCTTGAGTTCCTCTTGCTTACATTTAAGCCAGGAAATTAAATAGTTTATTCCTAATATGAGGGCAAGCAGCTTGGCCTTTTTTGTATGCTTATTTTGGTAAATTAATCTACCTGTCGGTGCCCTCAAAAAAAAAAAACAAACCTATATGTAAATACAGATTATAGTTCACTTTGGGGTTAAGGTGGTTAGGAGTATATTTTAGTTGTTTTATATCTCCACGTGCAGGCCGCTGTCCCGGTTTGTTTGCAGGGCATGTTGTCATCCCAGGGGTTAGATGTCGTGACTGGTCGGGGTGATGGAAGCGTCTTGCTGGTGTGTGGTTCTGTGCTCGGTGTGAAACGTGTTGACCCCTTCCCCGTGGCGTGGGGAACCCGAGTAATGAGGCTGCGTACCTCGTGCGGGCAGTGATACTGGCAATGAATAGAAAAGGCTTTGATTTGTAGCTCCTCTCTCCCAGCATGTTGCCTGTTCCTTCCGTAGAGTGGTGCTGGAATCGGTGTTCATGCCAAACCTGCTAAGTATGTTTAAAACCTTTTTGTTATTGCTGAAATGCTTCATTCTCTATGAATGGTCACTTGATGTCTTGTAAAATATTGTGGTATGATAGCATTTTAAGTGGTACCACAACGTTGGTTTTGTCTGTTTGGGGATTTTTTGAGCTCTTTTTTTTTTTTGCATGACAGACCTTGCACTCTGAAGATGGAAGCTGTAATGATTCAATAATACTGACTATTGAGGTGAACCTTTAATCTCTTGTGCAATTAGTTCTGCTTTACTCATCTTGAAGCGTCTTTTCATGTACTGTACGACATTCCATATCCATTTAACACTAAATAAATTTAATTCACTGGTTTTTTGGTAGCATGGGAGTAATTACAGACGTAGTATGTCAGCCCATTGTTCTAAATGTGAGCATGCGCAATACTGGAACAAACTACATCGTTAGAGGGGAAATTAATCACATTAAATAGAAGAGCTTTTCATGTGGATGAAAGACAGTAATTTCTGTGGAAACCTGTAGTTTGGTACACACCTAACAGCTTAGCTACCAGTGAAAATGTTTTAGCAATAAATCTAGAAAGTAAGCTTCAATTTATGCATTTAAAACTCCGTTTTGTGGTCCAAAACTGAAAAAGAAAACTGCTTTACATTGGTTTTGTAAAATGATAAGTAAAATTCTGAAAATTCTTCCCTTTCAGATAACTGCAGTGTGATACAGACATGAACAACAACAAAAGTACCACGTATATCACTTGTAGTAGATAATTTGATTTCCGTAGGAGCACTTCCATGGTAGGAGGGTTCCAGACCCGGATTTGTACAGATTTAAATAGATACAAGCACTAGAGGGCAGAAAAGCAAATGTTTAGTAGGATCGAGGGTGATGAAAACCTGTAAAGTATCTTGGGAGTACAACTTCTAATAAAATTGGGGGAATTTTCAGAAGCAATGTAGGTTGTAAAAAAAATAAAATTTAACTTTCCCTTCTGCATTAGTTTTTTAAACACTAAGTCATTAGTATAAAAGCAACTGCTGCATCTAAGCAAATTGAAAATGTTTGGGGTTTTTTTTCTCAAAAACTTCATTTATAACTTCTTAGAAATTAAAAAATGATTTGGCCAGATTCTTCTGTCATATATAACTGAAAAGATTACCTGTCCAGTGCGTGCTGGAGAAGTACGTTGGCACTAATTTTGAATGGAAATAACCTTATACAAGGAGTTTCCCCGGTCTTTGCTACCCTGAGCTTGCTCCTTACGCCCTATGCTGTGTGTATATGTGAGTACACACACACACTTACTCTCACTGGCTTTATTCACCAGGGAGCTGAGAAAAGGTACAAACAGTGACTTTCCCAGCAGACCAGCATTGTCAGTGAGGAGCAGCCCTTTCCCCTTCTTCTGCCCATCTCCTGAACTTCAGGTAACAAAACAGGTTTGGGAAAACAACAACAGAATTCCATGGGCGGCTTGCAAAAAGTATAAAGGCTTGCTTTGTACTGGTCTAACACCCCAGCACAGCAGAGATTGCTTTCTCCCCTTCCACCAGCTGGAAAATCCATCTGAGATCTGCCCCTCGGGAGGTCTTGGGGCTTTTCCTGCGCCCACTGAGAGCAGTAGGAGGTGGAGATGGTGGCCGTGAGGGACCTGGGGTGGTCCAGGGGTGCAGGGGGGTGTCTCTGCCCCTCTCCAGCAGGCGTAAGCAGTGGTATTTCCCAGGGGATCAGGGTGTTCTTCCCCTTGCCTGTGGCTCATGAGAAAAAGCTGGAGCAGCCACAGGAGAAGCAGCAGCAGCAGCACGTGGATGGCTGGTTTGTAGCTAACGTGTTCTGCCCTAAAAAGGGCCAAGGTTGGTCACTGAGAGAAGACAGACAGGAGGGGGGAGAAAATGAGAAAACTAATAACCTGTAAAGCCAGAAAGACAAGTTCTACAAGCACTAAAAAGTTAGTAACATTAAATAATAACTAATATAATTATTAGGAATGGCCAAGATACTTGTGGTACATCAATTCCCAACCTACATTTGAGTAAAACAGCGAACATGTTGGTGGGTAGGCATTGCAGGGGTGTCAGAGAGCTCTTCTTGAGGAGCACACACACGTTCAGGAGGAGGAGAAAGTTGCAGCCCGTTCAAAACATGAACATTAGACCTGGGAAATAATGTGTTCAAGGAACAGAAAGAGGATTTGAAAACTGAAGGCAAATGTCTTATACAATAGTTCTTAAAAACATTGGGTTTGAAGCATTGATTATCAGAGACAAGGCAAAAAGCTCCAGTAGGCAGCGCAGCAGTAAATTAAAGTATGTCAGATGAAATCAGGTACCCAGGTTCTGTGACAGCGGTGGGGTGTATTGCAGCCAGAAAACTGAGAGGATTCATATTGAATGGAGAAGCCATTCACACAATGAGAACTGCACTTGAGAGTAGTCACGGGTAAATCAATTGAGCAAGTAAACAGGATTGACAGGTAAGTAGAACTGAAATTACATAAAGGGAAAATTGGATTTTCTTGCAAAAATGAGTAGCAATAAATCAATTCGTGTATATAATATTTATGACCCAACTGTAGAGGATATTGTCTGTAATAGTTTTTAATTATTGAAGCAGTCAAAAGTAAAAGCTGGCAGCAGTTAAACTAAGTGTTGTTTTAATTAATGATAGAATGAATTACCAAGCAGTACAAAAGTTTCATCTTTAAATAAATGAGTCTATATGTGATGAGTAATGCCTGATAGATGGTGGTTCCCTAGTTGGAAGTATTGCAAACATGCAATAGAGTAAGTTAGATTTGGGTTGATGTTAAAGGGCTTCATTTTGAATAACAAACACTTAATAGAGCATTTGTTTTCATAAAGTCAAGTCTAATTCAGGATTTAGGGAAAGAACCTACTTAGCTGTAGGTTACTAAAACCTAAAGATTTATAAGTAATCAGCTCTATAAATAAGGTCAGTCTCACAGAGTGCATGGGCCCAGCAATAACGAGGCCCCTGAAGCACATCGTGTAGAGGTGTTATTTAATGCAAAGGTTCTAAAACCAGTAATCCGACAAAGAAAATAAAGGGACTGATGCTAATGCTTATTTCAAAAGAGTAGGAATGTAAAAAATGCACTAGAATCTGTGAAAAACATTATTTTTTAAGAGTAGAAAACGTTCTCCAGAGCTCTCTAAAGGGAGAAGAGGTTAGTGCTTACTGGGGAGGTGGGTTTTTAAGTGCGGAACAGACCTGGAGGGAAAAAAACAGGAAATTCTGTGTTCAAATAACCCACACAAAATGAGAATGAAAGGCACTGAGTGTCTTGATAAGGAGGCAATAGAGAAGTGCTGCTCTGCGCCGCGGTGAGAAGGCAGTCAGGTTGCTGGGTCTCTGAATGTGCTGTCCAGGTGAGCCTTCTGCCCGGCTGCCCGGTCACGTCTGCCAGCAAGGGTTTGAAATGGCTCAAAAAGCCTCTGGTTGGTGTCATCAGAGTGGAAACGAGAGGGAGCTGGCACAGCTCAAGCAACCTGCAGTCAGAGCCCAGAGCCATCCCGGGGGAATTCCAATGGGAATAACCCCTCGTGGATGGGATTGGACAAAAAAACATGGAAACCTGCTCTATTGATGTAATTGTCTATTAGACCACATTCCGAGGCACTTCCGAAATATCACCTGCTATTAAAAGTGCACTTCATCACTTACTGGTTTGGAAACAGCTCATAAAAAGAGCAGCTGTTTGTAAAATACAACAAATAATAGTCATTTCAGACCTGGGGCAATTAAAAGGATTATTTCACACTTACTGTAAATGGAAAGACATGCTTTAAAACCAGTTTTGGACTGGTTTGGTCTAAGTGCCACGTGTCGGCTGTGGGGAAGCAGTCCAGCAGAAACACCGAAATCCTGACAGCAATTTGGAGAGAGATGAGAACCTTGCACACGAGGCAGCTTTTAATAGCCAAGGACTGGTACAAAATGGTCCATAAACAAATAGTTCTGGGTTTAGGGACGCCCACTTTGGGTCTGCTGAGACTTCTCTCCCCTGCCCAGAAAATGCCACCTCTGCAGTGAAAGAGTTTAACAAAATGTATGAGTTAAATATTTCATATATCAGGTTTGGGTTGTGTTTACTTCTTTGAAGAGAAGAGGGTGATGGTGCGGTGTTGTACAACTAACAGCTTAAATATTATTAATTGTGTAATAGGGTGCATTGTTATGTATTACAGATGTTTTATTGCAATGTCAATAAATAACATATTTTCCTTTAAAAAATGAAAAAAAAAAGCTTTAAAAAAATAATGCTTAATATGTTTCCTTCACTGGACTGATCTTACAGTCTGGATTGTGGGGAGTTTGTGGTTCAGCATCTTCAACCTACTTGAAATTCTCTTAAAATAGTGAGTTTGGACTCGCTGACCTACTCGTTTTAGGATCATGAATTTTCTCACATCTGTAAACACAATGAAGTTGCAAGTGTTTGCCTCAGAATTCTGCTATTCTCAGAAAAATTAATCAGAGCTATATTTATACATGCTCTAATTTAGCAATACAGGTATATTAAGGTTATTCACCACAACACTTTGGCTTCTGGTGCGCAGATATTCTCCCCTGTTGTATCTGATTCTAGAGGTGAAACATAATCAGGATTTCCCAAGCAAATTCCTTTAGTTTTAAAACTTACTTTATTCTGGTTTATTCTCTTTTCTGTTGTTGCATTTTGTCTTTTTTGATGCAGTGGAATTACTTTATGAGGATCTCTGTGCCTGTAGGGAGCAGGCAGCCCAGGATCATTTTTAGTGTTGGAAATTCCTGTTTCTCTACAGCAATCTATAATTTTGCCTGATTTCTTTTTTCAGCCCAACTCTGTAATAAGGTTCTTCGCCCCCGAGTTCTGTGGTAGTCACGATATTCCCCGAGAGGCTGAAAGACGTTCCAGCTTAGACAAAAGTGAGGTTTATCCAGGTAAATTCACACAAAAATGCCTGTCAGGCGCAGTGCGATGCAGCCGGTAAAAGGCAGTGAGAGTGACCTGGGCTGGCACTGAAGAACCTGAAGTGCAAATGGTAATTTTAAACCTTGTGTTTGAGAAGGATGAAGTTGAGTATATATTTCTAGAGGCCTTTGATTTCAAGAACTTTTCCTCCCTTTGGAATAGGATGTTTCTGCTCTCAGTGTTAAATCCTGAGAGCTAGGTCATACCGTGACAAGAGCTGTTTACTGTTTTAAGTAGTTTTAAGTAAACAAGGAGTATCTGCCTGGGAGAAAAGGAACTCTGGCCAGTTCTGTTTGTAGTTTAGGATTCAATAAATTAAATTGAGGGCCTATGCTGCCTCTTGGTGAGAAGAAGACAAATTAATCTGCATACTGGGAGCGTAAAATGCGTGTGGAATCTGTAGCCCCGCGTGGGGGAGGCAGCAGCAGGGGGACCACCAGTCCTGCCCATCAGTCATTCCCCTTTCCCACTGCTCTCCCCCGGTGTGGCCCAACAGGGGAGGCTGCTCCAGGGCCACCCAGACAACACAATGCTCGTTACTGGTCTGTACTGGGGAGCGATGGGCGCCGGCCCCAAAGAGCCGCTGCTGGGGGACATCTGGCAGCCTTTGCCACAGATAGATTTATGAGCTGTGAAAGATGCTCAAATTAACATCCCCTGCATTCCTGATGGGATTGGGGTTTCTGGGACACACAGCCATTTGCATATCGCCCTGAGTTAGCTCACGGCATTGTGTTGCTGCCTCCTCTGAACACACTGGGGGGGGGGGAGTGTGAGGCTTTCTCCCCTGACGTCCTGCCTGTTTTCAGCCACTGGTGAAAACAGACCCAGCAGAAATCCCACTTCTCTGACTCAGTCCCGTTGCACCCCTGATGCGGATTGGAATGGGCTCTCTCACCCGCAGGGGGATGCTCCTCACCAGGGATGGGCTCACACACACACAGCTAAAAGGCTGATGCACTTCTGTGAGAGCCCCCAAAGGTTGTCCCAAGGAGTTAGAGGAGCTGTGACCCAACCTGCCTTTCCACAGCCTCAAACAGCTATTGAAGGTCTTGGAAAGCATGTATTAATATATAAATATTGCCAGTCTTGGAAAGCTTAGTTTCATCAATCAAAACTTAAATAAAACCCTGTTTAGCATTAAATGCCTGTTCCCTTCCCTTCGCCCCCTCCTCAGATTGCAGACAGATTGCATTTTTTTTTATTTTTTTTTTTCAATTCTGGCCATGCCGTGTTGCTAAAATACAGCCCATGCCTGTCACTAGACCAGAGATGGCTTCCTTTTGCCATGTCCTCACTGAGTGACGATGGCCACACACCCCCCGGCAGTGGCCTGGGTTGGTGGCACAGGACAAAGCCTCTCCTGGGGGGACCAGGGAGGGGATGGAGATGTGGAGCCCTGGTCAGCACCAGGGCAAGGCTGACAGAGGAAGGGGGGCAGAGGGGACCTGGGGGGCAGAGGAGGTTTGGGGGTTGTGGTGTGGCTGCATAAACACTTCCACTGTCATAAAAACACATGTGGTAATGAAGAAGGAGAAGGTCGAGGCTGCCCCTTCCAGTGCAAGGCCATCTCCTGCCGCCAGCCGCTGATGGCGTGAGCAGTGTCCCCAGCAGATAACCGGGTTAACTGCATTTAACTTGGTCACAGTTAAAAAGCACGGCGTGAGCGGGATCTCCGAGGTGTGTGGGGAAGAGAGGGCATCCAACAAACCCCTGTGTCACATTTACAGAGAGTTCTTCTATGTACTTTGCCCTTGCCTAGACTATGTAAAAATAAAAAATAAATGAGCTGTTCTTCTTCAGGAGATGGCGACTTCTCCAGTATTATCTTCTGGATTTTTTACACGCTGATTTGATGTTAGTTGGTGCCTTCTCTACAGAGCCCATTGCTGTGGCTACAAGCGATGTGTGATGGGAATATTTTCATTAACCTCGTTCGGGAGATGGCTCCACATTTCCAACCAGAAGTGTGCTCTGCCCCGACGTCTTCGTTTGAATAAAGGATGTAGCATCTCCGAGAGTCCCACCGCAGGGTCGGGTTGTGGGCAGAGGAACCACGGTGCAGGAACACACGCAGCCCCAGTGAGGTGCCCTGGGCAGCAGAGAGCAGGGAGATGGAACCTCCGCAGGACACTAAAGGTGAGGGCACAGGAAAGGCAGAGCGAGCTGCCACAGGTGACATTCTGGTGGCAGTGGGTGCACACTCCTAGTTCTGTGGTGTTGCTCAGTGCCTAAGCCGGGTTTGCCGTGCGGGCAGGTTAAAAGGAAGGTGGCAGCCGGTGCCGGGTGATCCGGGCTCTCCCCACCATCGTGGTGCTGGCAGAGAGGGTCAATGGAACTTCTTGGTGGCCCAGTGATGTGTTATCCCCACAGCTGCCCCCTGCACACGGCTGGCCCCAGCCCCAGAAAGGAAAACAGGAGCCTTTATCTCCCTTAGAGCTATAATAACCTCTTAAACCAAACCGTTTTATTTCTTTCCTGGGGCTGATTTCCTACAGGGCTGCGGCGCCGTAACATCCCTGGGTGGGAGGCGTCCATTGAAAGACACCCTCAGGTTGCCCCCCCTGCTGCTTGCCGGGGGCTAGTGAGGCTTTAGAAAGCCCCCGGGAGCTATTGAGAGGCCGCTGGTGTGTATGTGTGTGGCGGGGGCCGGCGGCCGGGCCGTTCATTGGCCCCGCGCTGGGTGGGATGACATGGGCCCGGGCCTTGTCCCGACGTCTGCCCAGGGCGGCCCGAGAATGGAGCCGAGGGGAGAACCTCCACACGCACCCCCGGCGCCAATGGGAGCGCAGGCGGCTCCAGCTGGGGATAAAGGAACTAAAAAAAAAAAAAGCTACAAAAAAAAACAAAGAAGAAAACCAACCGCCACCAAAAACAAAAAGGGAGAGAGGCGGCGGTGGGGCTGCTGGAACGGGGGATGAATGGCAAGAGGCCACTTGGTGGTGAGGGGCTCGGGCGAGCGGCGTCCCCCGGCGGCTCTGGGGGGAGACCCCGGCCCCTGGCTGCGGGGACACCGGCGGCATTTCAATTCCATGCCCTTTGTCTCGGGCAGAGACAAAAGAGCCCCTTTAAACCCCCAGCATCTTGTCTCCACCAACACACCAACACATGCTCTTCTCTGGCTGCCTTGTTACTCCTTTTCCCATCAAAGGAATTCTAGTGAGAAATGTATTCATAATTTTGGAAGGTTTTGCTCCTAAAATTGAAGAAGGAAACACATGGGGGGGGGGCTGTATTGATGCCTGTTAGTGCAAGTCGTGCTGCCACGAAGGGTGGTGCCAGGGGGAGGCACACGAGGCTTTTTTTAATTGAAAAGAAGCACCGCTTTAAAAAGTCAGCCACTAGGTTTCCTTCTCCTGCCTGCACTAAACTGCCTCTGGGGATGATGCACTCCTGCATTCCATGGTTACAAGCGCAGTCTGAAAAATAAGAAGTTACTGCAGGGTTTTTTGCTCTCTTTCAGCTGAGAATTCAAATCCGACAGACTCTGTGGGGCCTGAGACCTTCATGTATTCGTGCAAGAAAATCTGTCGAATCCAGTAGTCAAAGTAAATAGAGGCTCTGGGTATAATTTGCAGAATAAAATACTTTAAGATCTTTTTCATTAAATTAACAACGTGCTGAAACTCACGTTACATTTTAAGGTTTGGATCTGTTTTATTGCAGCAGGTTTTGTGCTATGTATTTCCTTTGTTGCACAGCTATTTTAACTTCAGCGCTTGATGAACGGCCCTGCTCAGATCACGGAGAGAGATTCATGTCATTTATTAACCTTGTGATGTCACCTTAGAGGAATGAATTGTTGCAAACAGCAATGCAGCTTACAGCTGGCTTTAACCTCACAAATTAGAGTAACATCTTGTAACTGTCCCTTCAAAATCAGGATGCGGTGAAAGAGAGATTACTAGTTTGCTATTTAATAAGATCAAGGGTTTTCTATGTATAAAAAGAATAATTAAGTCCAGCGGCTATAAAAACATGCCCAGGCTCAGCTTCACTGATTCCTCTCCAAAAGGAAAATCAAAAAAAGGCATTGCCAGCTCTTGAGATTCTGTTGGAGCCTCCGGACACTGAGGTGTCAGTCGGTGTGTCCCAGGAATACCTGATGGACTGGGGTTCAAACTGCTGAGCAGCCGCGGGAAAGGGACCCCCGCTCTGTGTGCAATGTGGCACAAAGCTGATTGTAATTATTTTTTTAACCCCTGAAAACTTCCAAAGAGTTAGAGCTCTCAGAATTTAAAATCCAGAAGCTAAAAAATCAATTGATTCTTCTTTTTTTTTAAGTTAACTCACGCTTTTCCTG